AGGCAGATATGACAAAGAAACAGGCCTCTCAGATCATCACCATTGTCGCCGAGTTGGAGTCCAAAATTGCGACCTATAAAGAGGAGTATGCGTTGCTTATCAGCGAGACTCAGGCTATCAAGTCAGAGATGGAGCGTGTGCAGAGCAAAGTGGACAGGAGCATGAAACTCCTTGAAAGTTTGTCATCGGAGAAAGGCCGTTGGGAATCGGGGAGTCGCACATTTGACGCGGAAATGAGCACTATCGTTGGCGATGTCCTACTTTCAGCTGCCTTTTTAGCTTATGGCGGTTTCTTCGATCAACATTATCGCGAGGTCATGTGGCAAGAATGGTCAAGCCATCTTCACGAGGCAAGCATCAAGTTCAAGCCAGAGCTTTCGCTCACGGAGTATCTATCGACCGCTGATGACCGCCTGAGCTGGCAATCGAAGTCACTCCCATCAGACAACTTGACCACGGAGAATGCAATCATGTTGAAACGATTCAACCGCTACCCTCTCATCATCGATCCCACAGGACAAGCCACCACATTCCTTCTCAACGAATACAAGGACCGGAAGATCACTGTCACCAGCTTCTTGGATGAGGCATTCCTCAAGGTCCTAGAGAGCGCTCTTCGTTTCGGCAACCCTTTACTTATCCAAGATGTCGAACATCTCGATCCTATCTTGAACGCTGTGCTTAACAGAGAGATTCGGAGAACGGGTGGTCGTGTTCTCATTCGCCTTGGCAGCCAGGACATCGACTTCTCCCCTTCGTTTACCATGTTTTTGTCCACTCGCGACCCCTCCGTCGAGTTCTCTCCAGATATCTGCAGCAGGGTAACGTTTGTCAACTTTACCATGACGAGGAGTAGTCTCCAGAGTCAATCGCTAGACCAAGTTCTCAAAGTCGAACGTCCGGACACTGAACGCAAGAGAACTGATCTGATGAAGGCTCAAGGAGAGTTCCGACTTCGTCTTCGCACGCTAGAAAAGTTGCTGCTTCAAGCTCTCAATGATTCAACAGGCAATATTCTTGACGACGACAAAGTGATTAGCACTTTGGAGACCCTCAAACGAGAGGCTGCGGACATTACGCACAAGGTCGAAGAAACAGATATCGTGATGAAGGAGGTTGAGCAGGTGACTGCGGAGTATCTGCCTCTGGCACAGGCATGCAGTTCTGTCTTTTTCATTCTGGAGCAACTCAACCTGGTCAACCACTTCTATCAATTCTCGCTGCGGTTCTTCTTGGACATATTCGACTACGTTTTGCACCACAATCCTAATCTCAAGAACGTATCCGACCATCATCGCCGACGCGAGATCCTCCTCAATGACTTGTTCTTAATCGTCTACAAGCGGACTTCCAGGGCTCTTCTTCATCGCGATCATGTGATGCTCGCCGTTCTTCTGGCCCAGGTAAAGCTCCGGGGAATGGAAGAGATCAGTGATGGACTGGAGTTCCTATTAGAGAGCGGGCAAGGCGTCGCAGTTTCTACAGCTCCCTCAACAGAGCACCCTACCCCCTCGGTACTGACGCCAGATCAGATGATGCACTTGGAGAGCTATGCGAAACAATCCCTATTCAAGCCAGTTCTCAGCAATATATTGGAACACCCAGATGATTGGATTCCTTTCCTGCAGTCGAGCAATCCCGAGTCCATTGTTCCAACGCCATGGGAACCTAATACTTGTGAGTGAACCCTCATTTCCATCATGTGCGGCCACTGATCAGATTGTAGCTGCCGTCGAAGCACTACGTTCTTTGCTGATTGTCAAGTGCCTCCGGCCCGACAGACTGCTACAGTCCGCGGCCCTATTCGTTCGAAACGTGTTCCAGAGTGACCTCTCATCCGATTTGGACCTGAGCGCCATGGTTGCGAATGAGGTGCCGGCAGCGACTCCTTTGGCCCTTGTATCAGTTACAGGTTATGATGCCAGTTACCGTGTGGAGAACCTCATACAATCTACTGGTGCACGTTCCTCATCAGTGGCCATGGGTTCTCAAGAAGGATTCACGTTAGCAGACCAAGCAATCGCAGCAGCATCCCGTCAAGGGACATGGGTGCTTCTGAAGAACGTGCATCTCGCTCCTACATGGCTAGGACAGCTGGAGAAGAAGCTCCAGACATTGAATCCTCATCGAAACTTCCGTCTTTTCCTCACCTTAGAAGCGAATCCTTCCATTCCCGTCAACATCTTACGCCAGTCACGGATCATCATGAATGAGCCTCTGCCAGGAATCAAGGCGAACCTCTTAGACTCACTTGGATCCATAACGCCACAGCGGCTGGCACAAGGTCCATCAGAGAAGATACGTCTGTACTTCCTATTGGCATGGTTCCATGCTGTTGTCCAAGAGCGTCTCCGCTATGTGCCATTAGGCTGGAGCAAGACTTACGACTTTAATGACTCTGATATGTCCTCGGCTTTTGGAACTATCGACACCTGGCTCAATGCGGTTGCCAAAGGACGAGCAAACGTAGACCCGGCAACCATTCCTTGGGATGCCCTTAGAACATTGATTAAACAGTCCGTTTACGGAGGAAGAGTTGACAGTGATTTTGATCAGCGCATTTTGGACGCCTTTGTCGACAAGCTCTTTACGCCTGCTGCGTACAACGTTGACTTCGACCTTGTTCCAACCATCGGTGGAGACCATGCGCTTCAAGCTCCCGATGGCACCAAACTCGAGCATTTCATGACTTGGGTGCAACGCCTGCCTGACCGCGAACCACCAGCATGGCTAAGCCTTCCTCCAAATGCAGAGCGTGTTATTGCTGTAGCACAAGGTACGCAAGATTCATTTGCGTTGTCACCTGTCTGACTGCTTCGTTTTCAAGGCAATGAACTGCTTGGTAAATTGCGCAAGATGCGTACTCTAACAGATGATGACGAGCTCGGGAGTGCCGCTGGACCCTCAAAAAGTCAGACTTCACAGCAGCCTGCATGGATGCGCAATCTTCACGAGCGGTGTCGTGAATGGCTCACCCAGCTGCCTTCGGTGAGTGTCTTGATGGATTTGCTGTCCCCATTTCGCTCATTGTCCTTTTTAGACATTGAACACTCTACCGAAGCAATCCAATGACAATCCTGATCCCCTTTATCGTTTGTTCTTCCGGGAGGCATCGATCGGACGCAAACTTCTCGATCAGGTTTGCAAGGACTTGGCAGATGTGGTAAAGGTGTGCGATGGGGAACTGAAGCAGACAAATCACCTGCGGACCTTGATGAGCTCCCTGACAAAAGGTTCTTTGTTGCTGCCTTTTGCTTCTCCATCGAATACTGATTAGTATATCAGGAACTATTCCTCCTCACTGGAAGAGATACAAGGTGCCAAAGGCCATGTCCGTGTCAGAGTGGATTCCAGATCTGGCTCGTCGATTGTCTCAGCTCAATGACATAACGAGTGTGCAACAAAACCTTTCCAACGTGGAGGTGTGGCTCGGTGGACTGTTCTTTCCCGAAGCATATATCACAGCGACTCGTCAAGCTGTGGCGCATCGTAAACGGTGGAGTCTTGAGACGCTTCACCTGCGCCTCGACATCGGCCAAATGAACGACCCTGGTGCATTCATTGTTGACGGTATGTTGCTTCTTTCTCTCCCTTCCCGTCAAATTTAAATGATGTATGTAGGTCTTGTTCTGGAGGGAGCTGCTTGGGACGCCGAGAATGAAAAGTTGGCCCTCAATGACGGGCAGGCTGTCCGGCTCAATGCCTCTCAAATTCGCTGGGTGCAGGATGACTCTAGCAACGAGGAACAGCCTGCTGACCTGGTCACACTGCCGGTTTACCTCAACAATGACCGTAGTGACGTGATGTTTACGGTGGATCTGCCGTTCGATAGACATTCAGCGTCGCTAGTGGCAATGAGGGCTGTTTGTCTGACCGCGAGGGGTTGAGCGCTGAGCGCTTTGAGCAATGACCAACATCTTACCATTGGCATACATAATTTACCATACCCATATCATGATACCATTTTTTCGTTCGCATTTCCGTATTTTATGACAATCATGGAATAACATATGAAGTAGTATCACTTGCAACTTGGATGTATACTGCGTCTCCAATACTCGGTCTAAGTCCCGCATACTCGCCTAGAATAGAATCGGAGGCTTGGATGAGCATGCCCTTCTCTTCTCGGCCTTGCCTAGCAACCTACTAGGACGTGGTGGTGCACCGGTGGGGCTTCCGTGCAAACGTCGATGTCAGCGTTGAACTTGATCTTTTGCCTCTCAAACTCTCAAGCTCAACGGCGACATCGAGTTAACTGGAGAGCCATCATGATATATAACGGTAGACCTGCGGCAGGCTGCGCAGACCAGTGAAGGAACCGAACTCCAAAGACGCCAAACGCGATCCATCTTTTCCCGTCGCGGTCTTCATGCTGTCGACGCTCCTGCAGTGCGGAACAACCTGAGGTATGTCATTTTCGGTTGCAAGTTGATGATTTCTGTGCAGCCACTGTTTGTTGCTCGGCGGCCAGCAAAAACGATCGCAAATCCAAGCGCAGACATCATTACAAACTGAGCCTGCCGCTGCCTCGACATCCACGCTACATTTTGCTGCACGCCGAATGCAGCGGGCGCGCGGTCTCGACCCCTTCCATTGTGGGCTCGTCTCGTCCTTTTTCTCTGTTATGCATCTCCCCCGAATGCCAATGGTCATTAATAGTGCTGTATGTGAACTTTTGTGTCTAGTTCTTTTGTAATGATTCTCTTTGTGAATGTCTCTCGCACCTTCCCCCGCGGAAATTTAGATCCCGTGAAAACCGTGAGCGGGCGCGATCATATGTATTTCGTTAAGCAAGCAATCACCTGCGGATGGCCCGCGATTGTCTCAGATCCTCAGTTGTTGAATCCACACACACCGTGTGCAGTGTATTGCCTTCATGGATGAAATTGAGGATAAAGGCAATGAATCAGTACAGACTGACATTAGGTGAGACGCTACAACCTACTGTTTTCCGGACCGTGGAACTTCTATTGTGGATGTCAGCGTTCAGACTTAAGATAGGCAGCTTGAAAGTCCAGCTGGATAGTATTGAGGGTCCAAAAACACTAACGTAGCGCTACTCCTAAGGGCTGTATACTATATAAGCTAGTATGTACAAGCTGGTATCGGGGAGACGCGGAAAGGAATCTGTAAGAGGCGGAGTGGGTGGTAAGGTCCTGTAGACTCGGAAAGGATAAACTAATGAGTGTAATCAGGAGTTAGATGTGAATCGGAACAAGTAAGTCAAAGGTATATTGCACAAGGGCCAACGTTGGTAAAAGATAGCTTCCGGCAAACAAAAATATCTACATAAGTTATACGTTTGCAACAACAATTATGCCGAAGGCTCAGGCTTAAGAGTATCCATAAAAAGACTCACGAAAACCACGAAAGCTGCCGCTGATGCACATGCCAGGACGAGGCCACCAATCCAGGCAGACTTGGTCTGTGCAACTTGGGCTGTGGTTTCCATGATCGTCATGTATCCAGCAGTCTTTCCCCTGATAATCATACTGGAATTGCAGTAGCATGTATCGTAGAAGTAGGAATACTGGAAAATACACGTCACGATCACCCAGATGGAGTTTGCAATAGCCAACAGTTTGCCCATCCATCGCAGCAAGTGCGAGAACACCAGAGCAACACGTGCCGGTAACGCTTGAGAGGAGGAACGAGGTCCGGAGTAGTGGGCGAGAACACTGGATATCAGGAGCATTATCCAAATAGCAGTCGACACGGCTCCATAAATGAGGTAACCCAGAGATCGACACCCCAAGCCCTACCTGAAGTTAGCTAAAATATTGCGTGCACCAGAAGAAACGCACTATCGTAGGAGTGAACCACTCTATCATAATCGCTCCTCCAACTGTTCCCCATTGTAATGCAAGCGAAGCACATGACGCTTGAGCCATTCTTGTGAACACGCCAGGCGCCCAGCGGCTGCGAGGTTGTGCGGCACAATAAGCAATGATTTGGTCATCGGACCCATGTCGATTGTCGGGGTGGATAGATTTAGACTCGGAGTCGTTGGGCTCGGCCCAGTCATCAGGAGAATCGGAATGAACGGGAATACGTCCTTCAGCCTTCCCTGATGCTTTTTTGTACGCCAGGAAGATTTTCTCTGCTGTAGATGCCCATTGCAGCGAACGCGAGTAATTGAACACCGGGGGGGTGAGGAGTTCGTCTGGGGATACAACATCCTTATCCTGAGCAGTTATGGTCAAAGCTTTTTCAGCGAACGCAGGTGGATGAGCATATTCCGTTCCTGCGCGCGCGTGTTGGCCGGCTTGTTCATAAGCACTTTCTAAGCGTTTGTGATCACATTTTGGGGATAGTAACAGCCATCCGACGACTATTGAAATCAACCACAGCCACATTGAACCAGTGGCTCCCCCGTCGGCTACATTGCTTGCAACACCACTTAAGCTTGTTGATGACTGGACATAGCTGGTTATGGACAGGATATAGGAGACGACGACCCAGACGATGGATGTCCCAGACGCGATTGACCACGTACTATGAGAGTAGTCCACCAGTGCCATCTGAGAGAAGTATTTCCACCAGCAGTCGTTTTCCGGAAGGATGACAAGAGATGCGAAGTGTATGGGGTCGGAATGTAGATCTAGTGGGACTTGCTGAAGGCTGCTAACAATAGAGACTGCGATACCTGAATTTGGATAGTTCACCGCTTGTCTAAATTGGCGGTTGATCCAGCGAGAGTTAAGGAGGGTGACGATTAGAGAGTAACCAGCAAGTACTGGTGAACCGACAGTCAACACAGCAGACATGAGATTATCAAACCTATCCTGTGCCCCAAAAGGGAGCTGCGAAATCAGTGCCAGGAATGGCAGTAGCCACGAACTGAAATCTTGCGCAAATGCAGACCACTGGAAATGCCATCCGCTCCCACAGAAGGAGGTGCACAGTGAGTAGCTGATCCCTGTGGCATCGGAAATATTCGACACGGGATCTCCGTTGAGATTGAGGAGACCGGCTAAATTATTGGTGGCATTTGCATTCTCCATGATGTCGATGAAACACTGATTCCAGTCGATTCCAACGACAGATCTAGTGTGCACCAATAGCAAGAGAGCTACTAGTAGACAGAGGGAATAGGTGAGAAACCAGAAAGCTATGGACGACTCATTGCACTTACATGCCTGAGAGCAAGTGTGCCAACGCATTCTTTTTCGGCTACGCAAGGTAGATGTGATGAATGCCTTCAGTGTACTATAAACCAACACCACGGTCTTTAGTATTACCATTTTTATATATAGAAAACCTCTTACCAGATTACCGTAGAAAGGAACGGACACTAGTACTGTCAAGACATCTGCGCGTGTTTTATATGTGTGCAAAGTTACGGCGACCTGCCTTCCTCATCACAGCTATCTGCAAAACATCCTGTATCTGTCAAGGAAGGTGACGTGAATAGGAACGAAGGCGAGGTCAATGGCAGTGGTTCACATCCGAGCCTGCCAGTGAATGCGTAAGCGGTGTCGGAGATGCTCACCTCAACGTTACTCACCCGAGGGCCAGCATTTGCGCTTGAATTGTAGAATCCAGATATACTGTGAACAGAGACCATGTTTGTCGTGTGCGCGCATGTAGGATGTACGCGAACATGCTCATGAAAGAACCAATATGCCAGTTCAGTCACGAATCTCGCTAGCATTCTGTTTCAAAACGACAATTAATCCATGAATGATCATATCAAATGTTGTGGCATCGTGTGCATCTCCTGCCACATTAGCGCCTGTGATGACAGTCGAGTGATACTCGATTCAAGATTCGGATAGCCCTTCGCTCATCAACAAGGTACATAATTACCTCCCCTTACCTTCCAACGTTCCTTCATGGAGATTCATACGTCGTAGCTCTGAGCACATTGGTCTGTCGGTTGTGAGTCATGAACGGGCGCTTCAAATCCATGTCGCAATGGGTGATGACCCCTCCATGTGCTCCTGGGCCTCGGGAAACGATTTTGGTCTTATTGACAACTTCGTATATATAGAACGCTCTCAAAGATGTCACAAACGTCATGTTGACAGCGGATACATATGATCTTTGAGAGTGTCGCCGGCTGTGCTGATAGATAAGAGCATGGTCTCGAGTCGTCCGCCAACGACGCTTCTGATCGGTTATAAACTGCTGGTGATGTCAGAATGTTGCAAAACGAGGAACCAACAGCGACTGTTGCCACACATACGAATACTGTGCCGATCTTCGCCCACGTCGTTCCACTGAAAGATCGTAAGGCCGAACTCAGCCATGAGACAAACGAAAAATGGGTATCGATCAGCAAGTTCCTCGTGTCGTTTTGCTTCAAGCTTTAAGGCCACTGTCGTTTTACTGAAAAGTTGTATAAGTGTAGTAGACCCGATGATGAGAGAAATAAAGATATGTTGCTTGTCTGTCAAGTTGCTAATCGAAAACGTTTCCCTGCCGGCGTGTGCGTGTGCTATATGAAACAGCGTAGTTACCGTATCGCTATAGCTATGATGGCGGTGTACTGTGTAGTACGTTTGACGCAGGGTTTCCTGAGTCTGTTGTTGTGTGTTGAGACGAAAAAACTACCTATCGGTGAATATCGTCTTGCATCGTGTGAGAAGAGGATCCATGCGCCAAGAGAGGAAGACACCAACTTGAAACTGTACATGTGCAATCTCATCTAGTTGTGACTCGAGATTGCACTCAATGCTATGAGTCGTCCATCGTAACTCAAAGGAAGGGGTTCAGTCAATGAATTGCCACGGGTGAGACAGCTTGAAGTGCGTTCAGCGCATGATGCAATACTCACATCACAGTGGTGGTGGGGTACAAATCCAAGGGATCCGAGTCGGTGCGAAGTTTGTTTGTTTGTGACAGACAGAGATTTGACCAGTCTAGCCCAAGTCTCACCCGGGGACAATTTGAACGGATCACAAGCTGCACAACGGCAGCCGATGGAAAATTCAGGCGCGGCGACGTTCGTGTACACCCCGCTCGATGTTCGCAACGGCCATGACGCATGCGAAGACATCCCATCCAAGGTGCAGGCTACCGCCGTCCTTCAACATGTCACCATTCATAATATTGGAATGTTGTCGTGTTCATTCTCTACCTCAACTCTGCCTGTCGTCACCTTTCCCGCCCGCCCGCCGCCCGTTTTCTTTTGTGCAGTTTTCGAAAAGTCATTGGTGCTATTGCCACTGGTGCTAACAGTGAGCAGGCGTGAGAAACGGTGACGAGCTATACTTATAAAGCGTTTGTATTGGATTCGAAAGATGCTGCATAACCACAGATGTGTGTCAACATGTGAGATGGGTTCAAGGAGTCCCTTTGTTTCGATCAAGCAAGCTGTGACACGTGGTGTGCGGAGTCCGGACAAAACCAATGAATCATTGTTCGTGCTTCCTCTACTGAGTACTGAGTACTGATCATCAGATCAATCAGGTTCAAACTTTACATGCTTTTGGCCACGCCCTCCTTCAAGTTGCAACGTTCGAAGACACTATGGTGAACACATGCTCGAAAGTCGAGACCCAGTACATTGATCAGTAAGCCAGCCTCGATCTATCTCATAAGTAACTAGCTAATAGTCTAAGTTCTAGACGGCGACAACCTCAAGCGTGTAGCTAGTACCTTCCACGGTCTGTTTTACAAAATCGAATAAATACATTCTATCTTCGTCTATCCATATATTAGGAAAGGAATCTCGGAAGGTTCTGTCCAATACGACCTCGACATAAGGCAGAAATGTTGTCAAGCTGTCCCCTGGCGTGTAAGTGTAGCCACCGATATATATCGTAGATGGCTCTTTCACCACTCGTCCCAGACCCCGCCTGTTCATCACAGCTAGCGGACTGAAATCCATCACATGTAATTTATACTCCTTGCCGCGGCGGACACAAAATGTCTGCAAAACTCGATTGCCGCAAACGTGAATTCCGCAGAAATCTGGTTGGTTGAAAACACGGGTATTTGAGGGGCCCCAATTCTTCCATGGTATTGGCGTTGTTGCTGCTATTCCGCCAAGGTCGAAGAAAACCTTTGTGGAAATGATGAAGACAAGAGAAGTGCCCATGAAAATGCATAGTATGCGATGTGCAGGGTCAGAAGTGTACATAGATTGTTGGGCTTGGATCTGATCAACCGGAAGGAAAAACTTTGTGTCATCCAATGGGATTGGTAACAGGAAACACGCCAGCAATTGTGGCGTCTGGGACATATCCTCGATGGAATAGATCTTCATATCGTTGGTGAAAACGAGCAACCTATTATCTCCGAGGAAACAAAAATCGAATGTGGTGCCGTATTCGGCGCTAAGGACGCTCTAACTTGGAAATCAACTGACAAGTCTTCAACCGTCTGATAAAAGCTCACATTGGATGTTGTTGAATGTTGCCAGTCCCAAATCTGTAACTGCCACATGTCGTCTGACGAAGTCCCTTGTTCAACGGACAACCAGCGCTGCAAAGCAATATGCTTCCCCAACCCTTTGAGCTCGACGTTTTTCGTGTGGATTTCCGAGTCATCGTGTCCGGGCAGCCCAGACAGAAACATTGTTTGTCCAGCGGCGCGGGGGTGAACACCATCGACACTCAATGCTTTAAGGTCAATAAAAGTTGTCTTGTGATCAACAATATACACGACGGCGATCAAATTTTGTGCTGGGTCCATGAACACATCGATGTTGGTTGAGTGGGGGACTGAACACAGCGTTCCTGGAGACCAGTAGCGCTGGAATGCTTGTTGTGGGGGCTTCGGAAGAAGCGGAATGATCCTGGCAGTATCGTCGTCTTTGTCCCACAAATAGACATGCCCATTAGCGATGAATATACTCGTAGTGTGTTTAAACGGTATAGGGAATGGTTCGAAAGAGTCAACGTCAGCCTTGAACCATGCGTGAGCTTTATTCCTCAAGAGTCGTAGACGCTGGGAAACAGGTGTGTGGTTGTCCGTGTTGGGTCCAGGGAGCAAGTGTTGGCCGCCGAGTTCAACGATGTACTGGAGCTCGGAGGAGGACACATATGTCTGGCGAAGGGCCTTGCATATCTGCAAGAAAATCATTAGTATAAGATAACAATAACATGAGTCAAAGACCGCCACTCACAGATGTGCATTGAAGGATATCTCGGTAAGGAAGAAAGCTCAGTATGAAAACCCGGAGTTCTTCAGCAAGAGACAGGAATCCTGTATTGGGCTTCATTTCGTGGTCCACCGTGACTCTCTTGATTGAAGATGAGATGGATAAGTAGTCTGGATTTATCGGATATATCATATGTGTGGGAAGTCATGATGGGGAGATTTCAGGTCGGACCATGGCCACACATGCACGCCGCACGAGCACTAAGTTACCTAGCTTGACCCTCGCATTCGTTTCTTGAATAACGAACTTCATAAATCCAAAGTTTTGGTAGCAGAAATCCGATTCACTTGATGACTCAAATGTGTACGAAGTCCTGTTACCTCTTGTGGACGCGTGACGCTAACTAAAGGAACGCGGCTGTCTGACTTTCCATACAGATGTGTGTCACATTCATAGTCGCAATACCGTTTCCTATCTTGCTACTTCTTGCTTCCTGGTACTGTATAGTGATTCACCATCGAACACTCAGCCACGCTTACCTAACAACTCCGTATGGTATTAGTAGCGGTCTTCATGTGTTTGTTTATCCTCAGCGTTTACTCTATTCTCGCTGAGGTATGTTATTGTCTTGTAGCTCGTTTACACTCGTACTTACTAGAGCACTAGTCTGACTTGCTCTAGGTACTGAATATAGCGTTTACTCTATTCTCGCTGAGTCTGACTTGCTCTAGCCTTTAGTAACGTGGTGGTGCACCAGTGGGGCTTTCGTGCAAACGTCGATGTCGGCGTTGAACTTGATGTTGTTGTCTTTCAAATTCTCAAGCTCAACGGCGACATCGAGTTAACTGGAGAGCTATCATGATATAGATATATAACGGTAGACCTGTGGCAGGCTGCGCAGACCAGTGAAGGAACAGAACTCCAAAGACGCCAAACGCGATCCATCTTTTCCCGTCGCGGTCTTCATGCTGTCGACGCTCCTGCTGTGCGGAACAACAGGTATGTCGTTTTCAGTTGCAAGTTGATGATTTCTGTGCAGCCACTGTTTGTTGCTCGGCGGCCAGCAAAAACGATCGCAAATCCAAGCGCAGACATCATTGCAAACTCAGCCTGCCGCTGCCTCGACATCCACGCTACATTCTGCTGCACGCCGAATGCAGCGGACGCGCGGTCACAACCCCTTCCATTTGTGGGCTTGTCTCGTCCTTTTTCTTTGTTATATATCTCCCCCGAATGCCAATGGTCATTAATAGTGCTGTATGTGAACTTTTGTGTCTAGTACTTTTGTAATGATTCTCTTTGTGAATGTCTGTCGCACCTCCCCTCGCGGAAATTCAGATCCCGTGAAAATCGTGAGCGGGCGCGATCATATGTATCTCGTTGAGCCCGCGATTGCCTCAGATTCTCAGTTGTTGAATTCACACACGCCGTGGACAGTGTATTGCCCTCATGGATGTAATTGAGGATAAAGACAATGAATCGGTACAAACTGACAACATAAAGCGGTTGTATTGGATTCGAAAGATGCTGTGTAACCACAGGTGTGTCAACATGTGAGATGGATTGTCGTTCAATCGAGGCAAAGAAAGTTAAGATTTCTTGAAGTTCTTGATGACCGACACAACTTGAACGCGTATCCATTATATAAAGTAACATGTTAATTTTTCTCGTTAAGAACATTGTTATATACATGTCAACTAGGAATTGATACGTCCACCATCCGCAGAAGTTCCGTCAGAACGAATTTTGGACACGTCGTACAATGGCGGAAGGTTCTTCAAGTTCTGAGTACGTTGTTTCTGGAAATCTTGGTAGACCTGATCCTTGTTTGATCTTGAGAGGAATTGGATCGAAGCACCCTTGTCGTCATCACTGGATGTGATACTACCGAAGTTGAAGCTAAATTCATCAAGTTCAGTACCAACGAAGATATACGCAGATAAAAAGAACTTACACGGAGTAGACGTTGCGCATGAATATGTCACCAAGCAAAAAGTCCATGTCCGAGCCTGTGCTTGACAATTGCGGACGAAACGCAGAGGTGCAAACAGTGTATTTTGTGTCGCCGTCAGTAAAAGTCGCCGGCCTCGTTAATTCAAGAGGGTTAATAGGATAATAATCGTTGCTGAAGATCTTGTCAGTGAATATGCAAAACAAAACAGCGCTGGGTTCACGAACCCGAATGAGAAAGATAAATTTGCCTGGCCTAAACACGGCACGATCCAAAAATTTTGCCCGTTGGTTTTTATATGGACCGATCCACTAATGGCACCGTATATGGCATCCACGGTGTCGGAGGGTATGTATGCCAAACTGGTTCCACTGTCGATGAGAGAAATAGCGGTTCCCTTCTTCGCTCCTTTGACTGCTGAATTGAGTGTCACGTCGTGGCCATTGACCTGCATGCCCGTCAGCGCGATAGTCCAGCGCGATGACGTCGAGGGCGCAAGGGGGTATTTAGTTGTCCCGGAGACATCCTTGAATTGTGGGTCGTATTCTCCAATCGTGATAGTGCCCCCGGATGTATCCTCGTTGTCAGCCGTGCGCTCGAGTGCCAAAGCCACGAAATTCGGTGCTGATGGATTTTGTCCAAAGATGTTTGCCATGATAGAGCGAGCAGCCGTATTCTTGACTTTTTTCGCAATCCCGGACAGCGATATAAAGCCAAGGCCAAGTATTCCTTCAGCCGCTTGCTCGTACGTTTTATCGACATTTACGAATGCTAAGAAGAATTAAGGAAAGATCAAAAAAAGTGTTGATATAAGAATCACCTTGATTTTGCACTTTATAATTTCCGAATTGAACAGTAGTGTAAGCGATGTTTCCTGAGGCGGAACCAATTCCATATGTGAGATTGAGATTATCGGATGTCTTGCTGTTAATTTTAATTTGTTGACCGGTGACCCACTTGCGTCGATACATTTAGTCTCTAACATGGACTGCAAAACAAAAGATTGCTTACCAGATCGCTGGATCCAGTATCGAGTACCAGGTTAAAATCTAGGTCAGAAAGATTAGTCAAAGTGGCCCCTAATAGTATGCATCACTTGCCATGTCCTCCTACGTTGACCTTGCCGAGGTACTGCAAGAAAGGTTAAGCACATGCCTGTGACCGAGTTCGCAATGCTCATACTCACCTCCAAGTTTGATTCACTAGTAACTGAAACGAGTGTTCCGAAAGTCGTATTCGTAGCGTCGGTTGTCGGTTTGTAATAAGCATTAAAAGAAAATCCCATCGAATGGTCGTCCCTGTTGATAGCGAGGGCATTGCTTTCCAGAAGCTTGCCGGAGACTATGAGAGCGAAGGCGAAAGTGGCGAAGCGTGTTGAGGACATACTTGCTGAATGAATGGATGTTGAAGGTTGAAAGGTGGATGAATGGAAGATGTGTTCGTTTATCGGATTTTATACAGCCAGAAGATCATCGGATGTGGTCGTCGATGACGCAAGTCGGCTCATTCTACTGAATTGATTTTAGTGCAAGTGAATACCTTATGACGTCGGGATTTAAGAACATCTAAGACATTGCGAATGTATCCGCGGAGTTATCAGAAGTGAGGAAGACGGCGATACTTGTGAGAGTTTTATTCCCTGGGACTCGCGAGAAAGCATCGAACTATTCAATCCATGAAAGCCTGAGGGATATAGCACGTCCAAAAGGCCCAATACAAACGGTAGAGGGGGCGTTTAGCGGGAATTACAATTCGGACTGAAGCGTCACGGGTGACAGAAGTAAGACCACTAACCCGGTCGGCCCGATCAATGCATACTATGTTTCTGATAGCGATGGGGCCCATAGTTATGCAACATTCTATACAACCAAAAAAGTGAGTCTACATAAATAACACCAAGGAGCGATTCACGCATAATCTGCCCTGCAGAAATTTTGCCATGCATTTATGTCCACGCCGATGAGAGCGACCAGAGGGGCATCCCAGTTTTGAATATTGCACCTCATCGATTAAATTCCCTGTGTTGAAAGCACGCCCCTTTACAGCAAGGCCATTCCCGAATACAAGAACGTGTTTCCTGAGGGTCTGATTAGCGTTTATCTATGTCTATTCAATAAAGCCACAAATGATGGGATGAATTCGCTGACTGCAATCGCGTCACAGTACGATCCAGTATCCAACTAGTAGAAAGGTAGATCACGTACCATTGAAGCTGAGCCCAGACACAGACTAAGACTCTACAGTGCTCCCTTCCGCCACTTCCAGTATTTTCCAATCTACTTCAATTTGCTCCTGCCGGAATATTTCCTGTATTTTCCCAGCGATGCTCGCAAAATTGTGAGTTGCAAGCGCAAGGATCGTCGGTCCTGCACCAGAGAGGCAGATGCCAAGCAGACCAGGATGTGAAGCAGGCGTAATTAAGGAAGTAACCGCTGGCAGACCAGGTATCTGAGATGATGGTCAAGACAAGAACTCCCCATGGATAAAAGACTACGCACAAGAGTTTTTCGATATGGCTGATGCACGCGATCTTTCATAGCCTCAAAAATTAAGTCTGGGTCTGGTGGCGTCTGACCGAGAGCTGTGGTAAGGACGGCCAATCGTTGCATGTTAAAAACCTGCGAGGGGATGGGTGTTTTAATTCAAAGCATTACACTTCATACGCATACGAGAACACGTACCAGATCCTTCCTTGAGTAACTCTCTGGCAGAACAGCTCGTGCTTTTGCAGTACTGAGTTCAAATCGGGGTATAATAGCAACAGCTTTGATGCTGCTGTTCCAATTAAATCGGACGTAATGACCAATACCTAACGGTGGAAGAGGCGGGGAAAGACCCCAGTCTTCCCCAGCATCAGGCGGATATTCCGGGAGGACTTCAGAGAGGGGTACTTGTGCAGCTTCAGTAGCTTGTGGGTCTAGCTCTCTAAGGTATGATCCCACAAATCCGCCAACAAGGGCAGCTGTGACATTGTCGGGGTGGCGCTCGACCATGAGCGCGTAGTCTAACATTCGCTCGCGGGAGAGATTGAGTTTGCCGAGACTGTTTCCGAGAAGAACTCCTGCAATGACCGCTGCGCCGGACGAGCCAAGTCCACGTCCGAAGGGTATTTGGTTGTCACAGTGAATGCTAACGAGGTCGGGAGGGAATGACCTGTGATCATTGCAGCGCAGCACGTAGAGCGCTACACGAGTCATAAGGTTGCGGTACGGGTCTAGCGGGACTTCGTCGGCTCCTTCACCCGAATACGTGATCACTGGTGAGGTAGAGGTCTCCCCGATGGTGACAGTGAGAGTGAGATAGAGTGAAAGTGACAATCCGACAACATCAAAGCCAGGGCCAATATTGGCCGAGGTTGCTGGAACTCGTATGATGAACGAGTTGGTCATGTCTAGACGATGGGTAAGAAAGTATCCAGATGGACTATCAACAGATCTGCAGACCTTATGCGTAGAAGAAGCGGTGAGGAAGCTGATCGTTGACAAACGCCAGCGAAGCGAGTTTTTCAAGTCAATGTCGCGGTCAATTGATTATTGCAACCGATCAGATGATCACTTTGGTTTGTTTGGATCTAAGGCTTTTGCCAAACAAACGCGCGGCGCGGATCGAGCCACGCTTACCAAGAAAGCTATCACTTTCCTCTGCGTCCTCGTAATGGAGTAGGCGGCACTCCGCCTGATGAGCCTCGCAAATTTATATACAGTTCTAATTTGTATCAAAGCCATCTCATTTAAAGAGTGATAGAACTATTTGATATAAGCTAATGACCTAAAAAAACATACTGGTTGTACATAGCACTATAATCGCTACACTGAAATTGATGAGAGCAACCTTGCTCACTATGAATCGTGCGACGTAAATTCCATCAGTTATGGTCCGAATGCAAATGCAAGGAAAGCGGCAATCTGGACTCAAGCCAGTTGAGCCTTGCTATAAGGTCGTGAGCAGTACCGCCACGTTATGCGCAGTTTGTGGTGGGCGCGGCGCTCGTGGTTGCGGGCGTGCTGGAACTCGTAGACACAGAAGAGACATTTGAAGCAGTCGAAGGAAGCGGCGAGCTACCAATGGACGTCGTTGTCGTGGTCGTGCCATTCTGGCCAGAGGCAACAACCGTGAACTGGTGAAGTTGTTAGCGATGGGATGAAGCTACATATCAACGCAACTTGCAACTCACGTAGATCTGATCATCCAATGCTCCGTGCTGCGCCACAGCGACAAGGACTGGTTGATGGTTCATCGCGCTGATAATGGTGGACATCTTGTACGTCCCCTCAGGCAAACCGCCAGTGATGTTGGCATAAAGTTGACCATTTGCATCCGCCTTGCTATTCATACCAAGGAAATATGCAAACTTGGTGGGGTCGGTTGGGGTGGTCTGCGTAAGGGATTGAAGCGCCTCAATAACAATGTGGGCGTGACCTTGAATTTGCCCAGATGTAGGGTCGATTTGCTGGGGAGCGGCAAAGTAATTGGTGTCCGGATTAACGAAGAACCCAGTCTGCAGTCCCTTCATCGCCAGCGTCACCTGGAAAGTGGTGTTCGCTGGAAGAACAGCTAGGTTGTTGGGAGTGACAAACTTTGCGCTGGGCATATTCGAGGTGGAAGGGATGGCACCCATGGGAGCGGGGTTGCAAGAACCGTTTTTTTTCTGTTGGCCATTCGTAATAGGGAGATTGGTCAAAGTGGCACAATAGTTGATGAAGTTGTTGTTGGAGGTCAAAGAGGGAAATTCGCCAGCCTCAGAGGTGTTTGTGTTCTGACCATTCTGAGCAAAACCAGGAGCGACAACGCTTGACAGCAGCGTTAGGGAGGCTTGAGCACTTGAGTTGGAACTCGATCCAGAGCCTGCTGTTGTAGTAGCTGTAAGAACTGAGCTAGACGTAGTGGTGACATTGGAGGGACTGCCTGTCGTGGTTGTGGTTGTTCCGTTGGCAGTTGCGCCAGTGGCAGCAATACGTGAGTTCAGGTCTGCTTGAGTGGTGCAAGTGATGCTGGTTCCAGCAGAGTTAACAAGAGGAAGCGCAGCGCAACTAATAAGATGAGGATAACTAAGCATCAACACTGTAACATACTCAGATATATAAAACTTACATTAAACCTGAGCCACATGAAGTGAGGACGTACTGCCCATTGACGCACTGAGCAAATTCGCCGTTGACACATGCATTGCCAGAGGTGCATGGCGAGGATGCAGTCAGCGACTTGAACTGGTTGCTGAAAGAAGAGGTTAGATTGTTAAGAGAGACTGCGTGGAACCAACGCGACGTACTTCAAATTGATCGCGTCAATACCATTCTGCAATACAAAGCTTCCCGCGCGGCGCTTGAGGCTCGGAAGAGCGACGGTGAAGGAAGAGAGTACGAGAGTTGCAAGAACGGAAAGCTTCATGGCGTAGATGTACTGGAAGGTTATCGACTTAAGCGATGACGGAGTGTTTCGAGTATCTGCCTAAGACCAGCTTGTGAGGAATGGCAGTCAATGCCGGGTCGTAAGTTAGAAGCAAAGAGGGTGAAGCAAAAGAAGGATAGTCCACTTCGTCACTGACGAGATTGGTATGAACACGACGAGTACAAAATCCATGCCGTGGCTTGGTCTTTATACTTGACATTATCGGGAACAATGGGACAAGAAAGATATAATGGGATCATCCACAGTTCCGCCTCTGCTCCACAATAGAGAAGCGCCCGGTCATCGCTAAGCCATCGCCAACGCGAGTGTGTGTTGTGTTCTGCCAGGTCATCGGTTGTTGTTCGACGTACTTGGCTGTTGTCCACATAAGAACAGTTTCCTATTGTTAATCACTGACAACCAAATTAAGACTACATCTTTCTACCGGCCGGCCTTAGTGACGGCTCGCATTGCAAAGTCCGCGGCCTGCTGGTTCTTCCCAAGCAGCTGGCAATTGAGAAATCTTCCGGAAGGGTGATGTATCTGCACTAGTATACTGACTCGGACGTGATCCACCAGAGGATAGTGAAAGCTAATACAGATCGTACAATAGGATGCACTATGATTCTGTTCATTTAGCTCTGAGAATGACCCTCATCGTCAACCAATCTCGTCGCGTTCCTCACGGACAGTGGCAGAATGAGGAGATCATTTATTCCTCAAGGAAGAAGTAGTTGCCCATGACTGCAGACACAACAATGTCAGAAACTTGTGAATGGCTCAAAAGGCCAAGGACATACCCTTCTGCTCTCTGTCCTTTACGCTGTGAAGCTTGTTGACTCTTGGCCTGAAGTTCGTAGGATCACGTCTGAACGTGACCTCGAGCGATGCCAAGAAGTGGTTCATTCCAGTGAGGAGGGACTGCGGTCTGAAAAGCGAATTAACCACGTCGGCGTAGTGTAGCCTTAATTTCTTACGGTGTAGCAGTTGCTCGAAGGGCAGGTTCCCCCTCAAAGACGATGACGCGGTCAGCCAGATATGTTGCCATGATGAAGTCGTGTTCGATGACAAAAGCAGTCTTCTTGGCATGAAGGATGAAGCTGAGGAAGGCATCGATCAATGTCGAAATCTAAACGACTAGACGGTTTGCCTACCGCTTGATGACCTTGCTCGCGATGATACGTTGCTCAGAGTCGAGGAAACTTTAATTTCGCGTCAGCGTATTCATCCCGAGAGATGTATATTAGCGTACCTGCTTGGTTCGTCAAGCAAATAAACAGATACATTGGGTTTGCCTGAACAAGGGCGTGAGCCAACACCAAATGAAATCAAAGAAAGTACGCACCAAGTGCAAGGACAATAGCCACACGTTGCAGCTCACCTCCGGAGAGCGTCTTCACTTCCTGATCCATAATATTATCCAAAGTCATTGGTTTGAGTACGTCTGTCTGGAACTGTGGGTGCATGAAGGAAGCTTTAATCTGCTTGATCAGAAGCATGCGGACAGTTCCTGGGAACTTTGGCGATATTGTCTGCGGCTTCAAGGACACCGCCAACTCCATTTTATCTGCCTCGTCGTCCGGCGTTGTCACGCCAGCAAGCAGACGGACAAAGGTCGTCTTGCCTGTCCCGTTTTCGCCAAGCATGACAATGATTTCGGAATCGGTGAAGCTACCGGCCTCAACAGTGAGCTTGAAGTTGCCCATAGTCTTCGTCATAGAGGGATATGAGTAATGGCGGGTCTTGTCAATAACAAGCTCCTCGGCAGTCTCCATCATCTTGAATGTCAGAGACTCCTCGCGGAAACGCAGATTCTCGGTAGGAATGAAACCGTCCAGGAAGATATTGATACCTTGTGGAAGAGTGAGCCATCTCACAGCAAATTATTGGGTAAGCTGTTACCTTCACGGACTGAATAAGGCATCGTCACAACACCATACATAGATGGCTTTCCATACAAACAACAGATGAAATCTGAAAGATAGTCCAATACCGACAGATCATGCTCGACAGCGATGACATAGCAGTCTGGGGTGAGTAAGGACCGGATGACCTCCGCAGCCTTCAACCGCTGTTTTATATCGAGATAACTTGAGGGCTCATCAAACATATATCTACGCAATTCCACCGTTAGAGCGTGAATTATCAAGGAATTGGACATACGCACACATCGGCCTTCTGAATACATGACATGGCGATCGCGAATCTCTGCAGTTCTCCACCAGAAAGTTGAGAAACTTCACGATCAAGAACGTTGTTCAGCTCCAGCTCATCGCACATTTTTTGCTTGTTGTCAAGCTCTAGTTTCGAGTCCAGCATTTGTGAGACGGTTAGGTTGCCTTTAATCGCTCGAGGTATATGGTCAACATATTGTGGCTTGATAAGTGCCTTCAAATTGTCCTCGAGGACCTTGGTGAAATAGTTTTGCAGCTCGGACCCACGGAAGTAACGCAGGATTTCTTGCCAATCGGGGGGATCCTGTCAGGGAAAAGTCAATGTCGTCCTTGCACAGCCCAATAGCACTCACATCATAGCGACCAAGATTCGGCTTCTGTTTACCAGCGAGAATCTTGAGTGCTGTACTTTTACCAATTCCATTAGTGCCAACGAGTCCGAGAACCTGACCAGGCCTAGGAGTAGGCAGTCGATGGAGCTTGAAGGCGTTGGCGGTGTACCGATGCGTTACTTGTGATTCCAAGTTGGTCGGCAAGTTAATAATAGCGATAGCTTCGAATGGGCATCTAGGAGTCTTCTCAATGGTATGAACGATCTTCATAAATCGATCCACTCACTTCTTTACGCAGATACCACAACCGATGCACAAAAACTCAGAGATGAACGCTATCTTATCGGTCGATTTTACTTCTATGCAAAGTTTGCCTGGAAGGTCCGTTAGCATGAGCATTCCGCCTATGCTTTGGGTGAAGGCGCACCCATTTTGACCACAGGACATGACTGCTCACGAACTGATGAGTGACTGATCTGACGTGACTGCTTGAGAGGGAGTGGGGCGTCACCTTCTTGCATTCCTGGGCACATCGCTTTGGCTTGCAGCGATTTGAGTCTACGATGGCGATACGGGTGATTTTATCAGCCATCGCTGCGGGTTAGAGATGGCGGTTGGCTCTTGGATCTGACTATTTGCTTGCAAGGATGACGGATCGGCAGTAGTAGTAGGTGATGCAACGAAGTTGATTGGCCAAGCAGCATTTTGTTTAAATTATTAATAATAATGCCTTTTTCACAATTCAAGTTATCTTATCTTATCACCGTGTCTGAGCAGACCGTCCCAGTTGTTGACCGCCATGGCGCTGCCAGAGGAGATCGTGACAGTCGATGCTGTACGTGTTTATCTCGTCAACGGAGAAGTTGGACAAATGACAATACCCACTGCGGATAAACCTCTCATAGATCCTTTTCGATCTGGATGGGTAGTTGCCAATCTGCTTCTATCAGTCTTCTTGATCTGCCATGGCTGATCGCCGTACCCCAGGACCCTCATAGACTCCACTCCTGGCGTCATTTCAGCCTGGAAGACATTCGCAGAGGAATACAAACTTGGATCGCATCTTCCTATCGTGCAGAAAACTCACGGACGGAGACTTGTGGATACCCTGAAGGATGAGACAATATGCAATATCCAGGACAAAGAACTTTTGGATGTAGGCGACATCATTCCTTACTTATGACGGCCCCGCTAATTCTACAGAGCGAAATTTTGCGCTTCGAGGATCTGGTGATCCAGGGTAACCCAGTGGCCCTCAAAGGAGCAGCCGACTTCTTGAATGAGGTAAACTTTCGAATATGCACATATCTTGCGTGTTCAGCTGACTGCATCACTCGAAGCTCGATTCCCACCATGACATGCGCGCTAGGTGGACAATTGTCACATCAGGTAGTGTGCCAATCTTGTCTTGTTAACGGTGCACCGGAGCTCCTTGTACCGATAGCCTCGAGGTACTATGCAGCTCAGTGCATACCAGCGTGCAAAATTCCGGTGCCTACGTCAGGGTTTGTGACGGCGGATGATGTGAGTGAAGGCAAGCCAAAACCCGCACCGTATCTCGAGGGAGCAAAAAAACTTGGGATTGATGTGACTAAGTGTGGGTCACGTTGATACCCGTTTCTTTGTGGCGCCTGATTTGCCCAAGGTCTGGTCATCGAGGACGCACCATCCGGGGTGCAGGCAGGAAATAGTGCTGGTGCAAAGACACTTGCAGTTTGTACCTCCCACAAACGCGAGGACTTTGAGAACTGTTCGGAGGAAATAAAGCGCCCCACGTATATAATTGATGATCTGACTAGGTGAGTCGCGATACGCTCAATAACAAATTTCACTCACTCAAGGAACCATTCGTAGAGTACGCGTGAATTGGGAGAACAGCAAGATTCAACTAACGATCGATACCCGTAGAGCACCAGATGGATCAGCGATGTTGTAGACAGACATCCTGACTCCCGCAAAGTAGCAGTTTCAGGATTCTCTACCAGGTCTAACGCTTGATACAATTCAAAACATGAGGGTGCTTACCAATGGCAGAAGCTGCCTCATCGCGGATAAGCAATTTGCTTCCACAGAGTTAAGACACTGCATATAGAACCTGAAATCAACACTTGGCAGAAATTATAAATATTTGACGCGGTATATAAAGTTTTGGTGAGTTCCACTTCAGCAGGTATAATTAGATCATAGACGTCTACAAACTTTCCCCTTCAACTAGTGGCTTGCTGTGAGCCGCCGCGTATAATGCTTCTTTGTCCCCAGACTCATCCACGAGAGCACGCAACATACCCTGCTCATTTTGCAACAGTTCCCATGGGCTACCGAATTCAACCTGTAAAAACATGATCAATACAAGAAACCGACACAAAATGAGATACTCACAAGTTTACCAGCATCTAGGACCATCTATCAAGATTGTAAGCCATCAGTACACGATAACCCGATTTCGAATACGTACAATCTTGTCAGCATCAATGATCGTCTGCAGCCGATGTGCAACGATAATCTGGGTAACGTTATGCAACTCATTGCGGAGAGAGGATTGGATGGCTGAATCGGTCTTATAATCTGCAAAAGATTATAGCATGATAAATATCCACGACGTGAGATACACACCAATAGCGGAAGTTGCCTCATCCAGTATAAGTAGTTTGCTTCCGCGGACCATAGCTCTAGCCAGAGCCAAGATTTGGCGTTGACCAACCGATAGATTCCCTCCTCCGCTTGCAATCGTACTGTCTAATGTCAATCTCGCCTCCTCAGACTCGTCTTGGACGGAAAAGAGTCCGGCAGCACGTAAAGCATCGTACAGCACCGCATCATCGTGCTGATCGAAGAGATCTAAGTTCTGACGGAGGGTTCCACTCAGGAGCTCGGGCTGTGCGGATGAAACGTGTCAGCGACGTGAACGGGCAACGGCACAAGGAACGTACAATCTGAGGTATGATAGTCACGTTGGACCGCAGAGCATTCAAATTGATCCCGCTTGTCGGAATCCCATCATAATAAACATCGCCTTCTGTGAAAATGCAGCGAAGGAGCGAAAGCGTCAAGGAACTCTTCAGGATAGTCAATATAAGTCAAGGTAAATGACGCGAATAAGCATCACCTTTCCGCTTCCAGTTCGCCCGACTGAATTCAGATTAGCCATTTGTTTAGAAGTGGAAGCAAGCCCGCGACACACCGATACCAACGCGTTCACCCGATTTGATGTGGAAGGACAGGTCCTGCAAAACTTTAGGTCCATCCTACGAGCGATGGTTAGGCGGAACGCGGAGACGCGGAGGCTTGAGCTCATACTCACCGATGAGTAGCGGGCTGACAGATTTTCTACGCGGATATCACCGCTTGCAGGCCAGTACGCAGGCGGCTGGCCGCCTTCGGTAGGTTTAGGCTCCTGTTCAATCTTGATATAACTATCGATCCGTTCCAAACTATTTTACATTAGTAACAGTCGGAGACATCATGTGTCTGTGCTAACCTGTTGCCTACACAAATCAATTAGACACATAAGGAGTGGGACGAGGAAGTAGCTTACCGCTGACTTCCACTTCGTTGAGGATACGAACCCACCAAAGGATCATGGAGCTGAAACCGACTTGAAGATGTGAGCGAAAATCCGCAATGAGTACACTACGTAAATGGAATTTACCTGCCATGTTCAGAGAGAACCCAATGTTCGACGCCTCATGAACTCCGCGACCATACACGAGATAAGCGGCAAGACCAGCCGAGAATCCACCACCGATAACATCAATACGGACACAAACCCAACTGAGAACATTCGTTAGCGACCAATCGCCCGCGACCAATGCAGACGAACCGATTCAAGTTATAGAACATGCGTGCTGATTTGGTGTAGCGGTCGATGCGATTAAGAGATTCTTGTTTGAATGCCTCCTCTGCACCGTACGCACGAATCGATGCTGTTGTAATGAATGAGCTCGCATATCATTGAAGTCCCGGTGATCGCTCACTAAGTCCTGCGATAGCAGCCCCGAAGTGACCAAGGACTGGTGCTTTCGCGTTGCTCATCTCTCGCTTGACTGATAGCTGAGCTTTCATGTAGATGCGACCAATCCATCCACCTAGCAAGCCGATAAAGAGTCCGGGCGCCATGAAGATAGGAGTCATGGCCACAACGGCTCCGAGTTTCACGATCATGGTCAAGGAAAGTTCGACGACCCAACCAATTCCCTGTGCAAACGGACCATCAACTAGATAATTTATCAGCGAATATTAACCATGTAAAAGTAAGCGACTGACTGGCTCTTATGTCCTGTGTGCACCGGGTGATGACCCGAGATGTAGGTGTCGTGTCCAGCCATCTGCCCAATGATAAATGGAAGCGTGACTGTTAAATTCAAAGAACACACCTTAGCGTTGTTCCGAGTACAGATTGAACGAGTTTCTTGTGGATGGTCCGCGACGCCCGCATTGAACCCCGATAGTACATGTAGTACCCACTCGAATACATTAGACAACCAGAGGCCATGATCAAGGCATATACAGAGAGATAACTTGCGATAAAGCTGAGTGACAGGATTCACGAACGGGAACTTTTCTTACAATTTAACATTGACCTCCGAGGGTAGCTGGCGTTCGTATTGAGATGCCCAGTACCCCAGGAACCAGGTTTGCACAGTGTTAGTGACGTCCGTCAACCCCATCAGAGCCAAGAACGCGACCCAGAACGTCATAGGATAGTTCCCCCCCAAGCCGGTCAGGTAGAGCTTGACTGGAATGCAATGTCAGCATTGCACGGAGGACCATGGAGGGAGGAACCAACAAGCTGGCCAGGAAACATGGCCCTCTGCAATTTCCTCAGACATTACCAACTTGCCGTCGGACTTCGCCGCATCACCCTTCGGTTCTTCTAGAGTGTCCATGACCTGGGCCTCTTTAGCAAGGACTTCCTGTTCTTTTGCCACTTCCGCTGCAAACTTGTCGTCCTTTGCAATGGTCTCCGATATTGACCCATGGCTGACAATCCGTCCGTTGGAACCCAGAGACACGACGAAGTGCGCTATAGAGCTCGCCATAGCAACGTTATGCGTCTGTGCTGCCTTAGAACGGGCATCATCATATTTGACCTATATGCACATACCACAAGGATAATTGTTCGATCTTTGACGAGATCTCCGGCGAAACACTTGTCTACAATCCACTTGGACGTGTGGACATCCAAAGCGGCCAAAACCTGTTCGTGTTCACTCACTGATAGTTCAAAATATAGATGGAATGACTAACATCATCAAGCAGCAACGTGTTTGCCGAAGAATATATAGCTCTTGCGAGGGTGATTCGCGCCTAACATGTTTCAGCGGCTGCGTGCCTTCTCGTTAGGAATGTGATTACCTTCTGACCGCCACTTTCCACACGAAGTCAGGCTTGTGATAAACGAAGGCTCAGCTCGGTGAGCTTACCTTAGCGTAAGACCCTTTTCTCCGACTTCCGTTTGGTCGCCCGCTTCGAACAAAGTAAGGTCTCGCTCCAGAGCACACTGGTGCAAGACTGTATTCAAACATGTCAACAATATTCACAAGTCACGTAACGGAATACTCACCTGTCTTGTATCGGTTTTCATCATAGGGCGCGCCGAAAAGGATGTTGTCCTGAGCTACTTCAGCACACGAACAACTGCTTTTGCGATGTCACGTACCCGAATGGTTTCATTTTGGACCCAGGACTCTTGTGCAGCATAAGCTACACCGCCTTTGCGAGGGAGGTTAAACCAAGATGTCGGACCAGAGGGCGTAAAGTGCATCTCGCCTGAGTAATAAATTAGAAACATCCACAGAGAAGGTCTAACAATCACCCACCGAGCAAAGCCATGAGCACTGAGGTCTTACCAGAACCTGTCGGTCCGACGACAAGGTTGATACGACCGTGTTGGAAGTACATCTCACCATCGATGCGAAGTCTGAACTTGCGCTTCGACGGTGTCAGCGACCCACCGGAATCGTTGGACCATGCAAAGACAGCGTCTCTGAAGCCGATGAGGTCAGATTCTTCTTCCGGCTGGACAAAGAGCTGAACTTTGTCCTCGTCCTGCTGTGTGTGTGCATCCAATAGTTCTGTATCAACCAGGAAACTATTGACACGATCCAGCGATACTTTGGCTGAAGAACGTCGTTTGTCAGTGGTTTTCGAAGTAAACGAAATAACTACCTTGAGTAAATCTTGGGATGGAGAAGAACACTATGTTCAGCTGATCTCTTAGGATGTCAAAGACTGCCAGAGGAACGACATCAGTTACTCTAATCAAGTGAATCACACTATGAAGCTTACTTGACATCGACGAAAAAACCTTAGAAGCTGGAATACCCATCAGGTCAATAAGTCACAGCACAAACCATAGCACAAACCAGTTAGGTTTTGCCCCATGATAAGAGTCTAAGAGAGTGGGTAAGAAACCTGTTTTGCGTGTCATCGAATGCAACATACGAATGACATGTAAGAAGCCATCATGGTAAACAGGGGAATTACGTAGCTATACATGTGTCAGTTTTTGATGTCAGACCAATTAACAAGGAAGACATACTTCAAGTTGTTGTTTAGCAGTTCTAAGATCTTCGTCTTCCATGTCCAGACAAGTTCTACTTCTCGTTTCTCGCTGATCCTAGTGTCTATTTTCTCTTCCCATCCGAAAAGCTTGATCATACGCAGAACATTCATAGCTGGCGAGCCATAAGCATCAGTTCTACACCTATTATGCTCGACTTACTTTCGGTCACTGTTTGCACCCGGGCATCCGTCTGGGGTTACGATAAGCATCATCCGCCGATAAATTGGAAGAAGCTCCAACCTTGTGCATTTTCTCTACTTGCACCTTTTGAATCTTCTGGGCAACGTACCCAGGAAGAGGGAACAAGAGAACCATAACAGCCAAGCCAACAAAGGCACTTGGTAAACGCCCATCAGTCAAGGCAGACAACAGTTCAACGACACCCACCTCCAACCAAGAATTTCGTACAAGAACCAAATGCACATGCCTACTTGAAGTGGCATGTACAACGCTGAACGAATACGCAGGTCAGAAAGCACACGTCCATCGGAACTGAGCGTGACTTGCCGACCATGAGGAAATCTCGTCCATCGGTAATATTGCTCAAGTCAGTTGTGACAAGGTTGTTAATTTTCCCAACAAGGTTGTCAGCGCTCGAGTGCTTTTTTGACTTGTCCAGTTCTTCCTTGACATCCTGGGCTTTTTGCTTGCCTTTCTTGGTGGAGGATATTGATAAGGTCTCGGCACTGGCGTGCAGCGTCTCGTCGCCACTGCCATCTGTACTTTCGTCTGCGGCGGCAGTGCTAGATCCAGCTACAGATGCACTATCTGGCGTAGATGGTGCCGTAGACTCCCCAGACTTCTTGCCGTCATCGGGGAGCTCAGCCTTCATTCGGATTCGGAGCGCATGCTCGAAGACCAGTTGGGTGAGAATACCCTCCGTGTGCACGAGCGCACGTGTCTAGAAAGCACATGAGTGGGATCACTAGGTATCGAACAATCATTCCCACCGCGATGTAAATATACCATTGCCATGCCAAGGAACCAATAAGTGGCCCCAAGAACAGCCAGGATATCCAGACCCACGGACGAACCACAGCACCCTCGCCTTTCGTTTCGACATAACTATGCAAAACACATGTTAGATGTCAGGAAATGTGGCAACGGAACTACTTACAGCAAAAGTTGATTAATTCCAACGGGAGCGGCTAGTTTTGCCAGCACCTGTCATGGGAAACTGTCAGACGTGGGAGCCACGCGCAGAAAGAATTGCATACCTGGAGAACGATCATTAAAGCCAAAACTATATACTCAACACGGAACGTCTTCATGAGACCGAAGAAGATGTGTCGCTTCTGACTCCCGGAGAAGGGGTCAATGTGCTGCAACTATTGTCAACTCGTCTGCTGAGACAGCGATGCCATAAACTTACGAGGAAACTCTTCTTTTTGAGATTCCTGGAATGATCATGGTCGGCCAGCGGGGGAAGTTCTTCGTGCGACAGGTGGGGAACACGATACGCTTTGAAGACGATGGGGTCCAGCCAGGTATACAAGATCATAGATAGCCAAGAAGAAGTTTGTTCGGGGTGAGGGCTCTCAGTGGGGTTCTATGAAGGATGTGAGTGTTTGTGATGAGAGATATATTGAAAAATATGACATACCGCAGGGTCTACTGGAATATATTGTCTTGGGCTCAAGAGAGGGAATACGATGCTTGACAAAAAAAGGACGGTCACTTTCGCCCACAATAAGCCTCCTTCTTCAAGGTCTTTGGGTTGTTTATTGAAGGTAATGAGGGGCCACAAATCCCGATACGCAAAGACCGCAAAGACTGCAAAGAGAAGAGTGGCCAAGTGATTGGACACCAGCCTGCTCCATCGGGGTTTGGTAGTAACTGAAATGAGCCCGAGAATTGATGCATAAGCCTAGAAAGAGTAAGCGGATATTGAAACAGGATAACCACAAGTCACTAACAGCAGTCATGCACAAGGCGAATTGCAACCACTCAGCGCGAGAGAACGGAATGTAGCCATCGGAGTGACGGGGCTTGCGATGCTTTCCTTTCGACAGCTTGTTCGCTCCGTTCGCGTGCTCCTCACGTTCGTCTAATATGAAAGTAGCCAACGACAGTCCCAAAAACGCAAGACAACCAATAAATCTTGCAAACTTGTATGCAAAAATGACCCAACCACCATGTTGAGAGATGAATACTTTAGCCTCAGAGAAAAATCCATCAGCTATAGTAGGTTCGTCAAAGAAAGCGCTCGGTTCTTCCTCGGCCTTAGGGGGCAGAAAGCGCGACCAAAGCTTTTTGACTGGCTTAGATAGCGTGATTAAATGTAGCAAGAGAAGAAGCGCGGATGCAGCAGCAAAATATGCTGGAATCATGAGTGTACTGTGCCACACTCTGAGAATTGAGGGTGTTAGAACCTTCAGTGTGAGCTTAGAGTACAGCACTCACGTATTGCCATGGCTTATCAGGTGGAAGTCGAGAGACTGAAAGGGGTCGGACTGCAAGACGACCTGCCATGGACTAGGATCGGTATACCAACCCCAGAGCGACATTTCCTGGGATGCGAGTTGGAACTGCGCGTCCAGTCAAGTTACGTTGAAGAGCGGAATTGAAATAAACAACTTTATCTACCGGAGCACGTAATTATATTATAAATTATGTGTCCATATGGTTCAACAGTAGACGCGTGAATTTATCAAACCAGGTATCGGCAGTACCGGGGGTCCTTATGTATCCCTGTTTGGATGTTGTGGGGAAATCAGGAGCATGTCCGAGTCTATGCAGCTTGCTCAACACCGTCATGGCTGCTCCAACCGCAGAGTCGTTCGCGCCCAGGCAATCCGTTTCAGAACCATTCTTGCAATCTGGACCGATTCCCCTATTTGAACATCACCTCAAGGTTTTGACAGACTCATATTTGACCTTCTTCCAAGAAAGGTTTGTCCACTCACTCACCCCAATACCCCACCTAACAGTGGCATGATTGATTTCCACAGAAAACGCATTGAAGAAGTATAGTGAGCAATATTTGGTGTTAAGCAACCCAGAATACTTTTTGACACGCGTATCAGTATCGAGTCATTGCTTAAACTACACCGGAAGGTGAAATCCATCGACAACTATTTAGACGATCGGACAGAACTCAGCACTTCCAGGAGAGCGTGGAGTGAGGTTCGGGATAACGTTGAGAGAGGTTGGTCCTGCTTCGATCTCAGACCTGCAGTCCCTTATAGGCGGCGCTTGCGATACAGAAGCACAAACCAGACAAGCATTTCTTGCAACGCTTACGGTAGATGTTGTCAACGCCTTGACGTCACTCAGGGTATGTTTGCCCCTTCGTTCAGCGTCTTGTCGAGTCTCTAATCGCTGGATGGTAGGAGACGCAGGAGCGTACGCGCAAACGCATCAAAGAGGATCTGAAAGAATCTGGCAGTGCCTACATTGACTATGCTGAGAACACACTCCCAAAGCTGAAACGCGCTTATTTGAAAAAATGCCAAGAAGTTGAGGTTAGTATTGAAACAGTTGATCTCTTACAGTCACCCATGATACGTTTCAAGGATCACAAAGCGGCTGCCGCTGCCGCGCCCTCGCAATCGACAGCTACTAGCACAATGCCTTATTCAGAACAAAGCGGAACTACTTTGAGTACCTCGCGGTCTAACCCCAGTTTGCCGTCTCGGCCTATTGTCACTGCTCCTCAGCCGTTACGCCCCCTTGATAGACGGCCCTCTGGGAGCGCACCTGGACCACGCAATCGCTCACCCTCTACTTCGGGCACATTTTCTGAGTTTGCTCAACACGGTATGACATATAAATGGCACATACTAATTCCGGTTTGACTCAACCAAGCGCCTATCAGGAAAGAAACAACTAAATCAGCTTATCACATTCTTAGATAAGAGCGGTACCGTTAAGGAAAGCTTAGGTGTACGCTCAGAAAATAGCGCGCTCCGTGCTGTCCGCGCGAAACGAGAAGCTGATGAGGCTGGTAAGTGATGCGTCGGTGTACGCAAGCCGTGCAAAGTTAATTTTGGCGCAGATAAGGAATATCGAAAGGGCGTGCATTGGCTGGAGACCCTCAGACTCAGGCGCACTAAGATTCTGGCAAGTGGTTATAAGGTAATTTTGTTAAGTAGCCGGCATCATCTACTGGCGGCTGACTAGTAGGCGCCATTCAGAGTCTGGAGACCTTTGTCTATGAATATTCGAATACAGTCAAGAATGTCATGGAAAAATATCTTGATAATATGACGTGCGTATATTTTGATTGCGTTACTCGCATTTGCAGTTCTGAGTTTGTCTGTAGTGCAACTACTACGACCCAGACACAGTTATCTTCACATGGACGTTCTGCGGCCGACAAGATTTCCCCAGAAAAAGATGTATCATTAGTCACGACCTTCATCCCTCGTTCACTGGCATCAGCAATAGCCAAGCCTATACTTTACTACAACTACAACGTCGGCGAATGCAACGACCTCATCTTCGGCTTTAGCCTGGTGGATTATGCAACTGCTCAGGGTCTTGGGGAAGGCGATGTTCCAAAAATTATGCGTATCTGTGTAGAAGAAGTAGATCAGAGAGGATTAGACGCAGAAGGCATTTACAGGGTAAGCTCTAGTGGGATTTTCTGGCTTCAGATGTTGATAGCCATATTCAAGGTGTCTGGCAGGCATGCTATTGTACAGGACGTAAGTCTATCAGCTTTTGCAGATTCATGTTTTCATCAGCACTCCGCAGCTACAACATAAGATAGAAAGGAACGAAGCCAGTTTCAAGTTTAACCCCTTAACCGACGATATTTATGCCGTATCCTCACTATTGAAGGTATTGTATTCTTCCGACGACTATGTGCTATCACGGCATTGATGGCTCATTACCAGCTGTATTTGCGCGAGCTTCCGGAACCACTGTTTAGATTTCCATTGCAGGATCGTATAGAGCATACGGCAGATCGATGCAAGTACTCGAAAGCGAAAGGCATTCCTAGAACCATCTGATCTTGCATTTAGTGGAACACCAGTCGAATCACTTTGCCCTTCTGCGTTCGAAGATACGGCGGCTACCTGCCGTTCACCGTGCGACTCTGCGCGCTCTAGTTGAACATCTAACTCGTGTAGCGTCCAATGCAGATAAGAACAAGATGGACGCAAAGAACCTAGCGATTGTATTCGGCGCCGTCATCTTCGGTGAAGATGAAATCCCAAAGGGTGGTGACCTTTTGAGTGTTCAGACATGGAAAGTTAGTAGTTCTGTGTTACTCGCATTGCCTGGGTTAATAGTCTCAACTCAGGATACGCTGATGGAAGACATGATTATCAATGCCCGGGATATTTTCGAGGACCTCCCGCCTGCGGGCAACTCCCCTCCTCTGCCTGCTGCCCCACTCGGCGAACCCATGCCTGTGTACTCGTATGGTTCATCACACACAAAAATCGGTAGTGTCCCTCCAAGGCCTCAATCCCCGAGAAACCCAGAGGACTTCACTCCTCGTCTCCCTTCACGACCGACAGGCAGCATACATCCTTCGCTCCGTGCAAATCCAACTTCGCCGACACGCGCCAACTTGGAAATTCCACCAATGCCATCACCACTTGCTTCGGGCGGAGACGATGAGTCATCGCCGTCGCCGTCGCCCACCGGTTCTGCGTCAAAGCGCGCAGAATCGGAGACAGACATATCACCACCCCCATCGCCTTCAGTGCTGGCGTCTCCCATCTCTCACGTGGGTGACGTAGCAAGCGAACCAATACAATAGGGTCAACTCTTTCTTATGCATTGAGTTTATTAATGTATCAAGACAGAACTTTTAACAAACACTCGTTCAGGGTAATTAGGCTTTTCTTTGTGGATAATTAGCGTCTACAGTATATTAAGCACAAACCGTGTTGAAATATACATGTTGTTACTTGCGATTAATGACCCTTGTGCATCCAAAAATACACGATGCACCTGAACGTTACATAGAAATATCCGTCGATGAGTGATATTGCTCAATCACCCAGTCCATATCCATTTCCTCCTCTTGAGCTCGCTGGGCTTGCCAGGAAGCCTGCCACTCTATGACGCGTGGGTGAGCCAATACTCTGAAAGAACATCATCGCGTCAGTCGATACGCCCCTGTACAAATCCCCAACTTGATCCCGAACCTTGAAGGGTCAAAACCAACAATCTCCAGTCCTTCTAGGCTTGTGGCTCTTGAGAGGGCGACATAGGCTTCACAAAGGCAAATCAGCTTCAAATGGACAACAAGACATGATTTTAATCGTTCACCTTGCCCCTTCTCAAAGATCCTTCTCAGGTCAACTTTCACTCGACTCATGGTTTGGCCCTGAGCCTTGTGAATGGACATCGCCCAAGAAAGCACAAGAGGCACTTGTACTCGTTGTGCTTCGCAGTTGCCTTTCAGGCCCTGAACGTTGAATGGTAAGGGCGCACAGAGAAGGTGAGACCCATCCGTGAATTTGACGAGCGGAAACCGCTCATGTCTTCCGAACACGTGTTCATTGAGAGCCAATAGGCCTTTGTACGTGTCTTCAGTATTTTGATCATCAGCGCTCCCATCAATCGTAGGAAGAAAGAGGGAACGCTGAGGTTTCGCCTCAGGCTCGGCAATGTCGATAAGGCGCTCCTTCGCTTCGTGTGTAGTGATAAAGTCAACCACTTTCCCAAGCGAACCATTGACCAGCCTGCCTTGAAAAAGGTTCTTTGGGAGGTATGATCAGGCTCAGCCAGTACAGTCATTTCGGAACACTTACTCTAAGAAGCATAACTTGTGCATCGACCTGAATGTGTAGTGAAGCAGGGAACATATTTAAGCATACAGCAAGTCGCAACCGACCTTTAGAGATATCACTTTTGGAGTGACAAGTCTTTCTAATTGCTGCTCTGCAACACCGGCCGTTATTCGTTTTCCATACATATTAAAGCCCATAGAGTCCATGGCGGTGTAAGTCAATATTTCTCCCGGTAATACATCGAGATGCGTTTTATTGCACGTCTCAACCTGGCTCTTTAGTGGAAACCTGTGGACGACAATGACTACCGATATATCACAGGGAGCGAGGCTAGGAACGCACAATTGAGTTGGACTTATGCCATCGGAGTATTCGACCACACGGCTCAACTTGAAGAATTCTTCGACATGCCAATCTTCCAGTTGCCCTGACCTTGTCGCAGAGAGCATGTCAATAAATTCTACATTCCTGTAAGTTGTATAGAAAGTTACTCGGAATCCGAAGTACCCACTGCTGTCCGTCTGGCGGAAAACTTTTGTCAGCACAACTGGCTCGTCGACGCATTGAGACCAAGATTGCGCATCAAAAGTAAATGTAGGTGGTATTATTGTTGTAGAATCTTGTTCGGGAACAGGTGGAAGCTGGAAGAAATCACCTGATAGGATAAGCTATTTAACCTGTCAGCAACTAGAGGATAATACAAGGGCAAGGATAGCAACTAATCACCTGTATGCCACCAAAAGGGCGAGGGCTTTCCCGGACAATTCGACCTATTTCTTCCTACCCAATATGTTAGCCGGGTGAAGACGTAGTGCAGGTGTTAAGTCGTACGAGCTTGTCAAATAAGCGGCCGTCCAGCATCGAAACTGCCAGATGTTAGCACAGTCGTCTGATACTGTAGGTTAAACTTACTTTCATCGATCACAAGGGCACGAGTGTTTCTCCATCGTTTGATCGCATACGAACTTAGTATTTCCACTAACTCCTCAACGGGTTCCTTGCCCAACCCTATGCCTGCCCAGGAGTGAATGGTTGAACCACCAATATTTACACCTGCTATGCCTGTGGGTGCGGTGATAGCAACCCCGCCTTTATGTTGCAGCAATCCTATAATAGCTCTCAAAAGAACTGATTTCCCGGTTCCTGAAAAATTGTGCGTTGACGACTTGTCTTAAAAGGCCAGCGATCATGCAAGCTTACCGGCCGGACCTGTGAAAAAAATATTTTTACCACTTTCAACCAGTCGAAGAACTCGTTGCTGCTCTTCAGAAAGCGCAATTGCTGGCTGTGGGGGAAGCGGCGGGGGGATTTCAGGTTCTTGCAAAGGGGCGTAAGGCGGAGGAGGCGTAAGCCTGCCACTATTTGGTCTTGCCTGCAGCATATTCAAGGGTGATTGATCCTCTATCCGACGATAACCCGGTTGAGGTTCTGGATAGTGTCTTGCACATTCAATAGAAACCGTCGTGCTTGTAGACGTTAAGGCTGAATGATGGTCTTCAAACCTTACATCCAACGTAACTGTGGGCCGACCAGTACAACATGTTACCACATCCCCAAACCTGGAACTAAGAATATACACGTACTAGTTGTTCGAGTTACAGACGCACCAGATGTACCAGTAGGCACGCCTCTGAGCCAACCTTCTGCTTCCTCCAAAGTGTCGAACCCCTTCCCACTAGCACCGCTAAGGCCAAGGGTCTTAAACAGTGATAAATTGACGGTGATTGCGCCGAGCTGGAAGGAGGATACTTACTGCACTCCGGAACTATTGTCGCACGTCAATACTCGACCTAAGTTACATGTCGATAGCTTCAAGGGACTTACATCGCAGTAGTTCGAATAAATCTTTGGGCCTTCGCGGCCAATGCGCACGGCGTAGTATCGCACCGGCATGGCTACCAATCGAAGGTTCCGCAGAACGGATGTTTGAGCGGCGAACACTTTTTAGAGTGTCAACTTTTAAGCCCAGGGGAATGGGACCAACTTGAAGCAGCAGGTGACTCGGACTTATTCGAGTAATACGTAAATCAGACTGCTGGTTGCTTCGTGCTCGGCGGAACGCGTTACGCGCGCCTTCAACTCAATGTCACGTGAGCCTATTATCAGCTATAGCTGCAGCGCTGAAGCTTCGAACCTAAAGGTGGTCCAGCTAGGATTCGGATTCGTGCGCAGTGCGCACAATTAGATCAATTTTCCCTCGACGACAACCCGTTTCTCAGTCTTCTCTATGACCCAACCCATTATCAACATCATCATAAACTACCTGAAACTAGTTGACTAGCTCATGCCCAATACAATACCGGATACGTCTTGTATCATGGTCCAGTGACGTACACCGACCCAGTTCAAACGTACATAATCGTCCCAAGCTTCCTCGAGGGCGATATATCACCTGGAGACCTGTCACTTATAGCCCGCTACGCTGCCTTCAACATCTGGATTCTGCGGATACAATAGCGACTTGGAGAGCAGAGCATCTGCTGCGGCGCGGCGCTTTTTTGACCCCAGTCTTGTCCCTTAACCCTCGAAATTGACTTCTAAATACCATAGATGCGGCAGAAGACAGTGGAGCAAAGTTCGTCTGTGGCTGGCGGCTCTCTTTGATGCCCCACGAATCCACGATGGTACGCTCATTCCTGGTGCTATATCAAGCTGGCGTGGGAGAAGGTGATGGAGATACTCAAAGAAGATGTTTGAGAGCAGCCTGGGCAAGAGATTTCAAACGGGCACGCCGAGAGTTCCAGTGTACTGACGCCCGAAGGAGAGATGGCTACCTGTAAGTGCTGTCGGGGAACCAGACAGACTGAGACGTTGATTCCTTCGCGATAACACGACGATCCATCGACTATTCCCATTTCTTTTGCTAGTCTCAAGTGTATGTTTGGCGTGATATTGATGAATTGTCAAACAATACGATTGTCGATAACGTAGACATCAGTCCCAGTACGCTTCCCGAGATTCGTCTGTGTCCATGGCCTCAGACTCATCTACGTACATCTGGTCACTCAGCATTTCGCATTCCATATTGTTATGCCACTCTAATACGCGAGGGTGCACCATTACTCTTGCAGCCACAAAAGGGCATGGTTAGTTCAAACATGGCAATGCAGGTCTTGAACGAAAGGCTTACTTGTTTGGATGAAAATTTAATACTTCCAAGGTGCTCATGCTAGTAGCACGAGAAAGGGCAACATATGCTGAGAAGGCGGCAGTGAACATCCAGCGATGAGTCATAAGGTTGGATTTTACCTTGACCTTTCTCAAAAGTTCGCCCAAGATCCACCTTCACCCTTTCAAGAGTTTGCCCCTGAGACTTATGGACACTCAGTGCCCAAGCTAATATTAAGGGAACCTGGTCTTGTTCATTTGCCGATTCTTAGCCAAAGTCAAACGGCTCACCTGGCGTCTTCTTGCCTCTATACCACCATCCGCATTATCGACTGTGAAGTCAGTGGGTATACATAGCATTTCTTTGCCACACGTGAATCGGACAACAGGCCATTGCGAGTTGTCGTAGTTGGCAGGGAGTTCGGACTTCGTGGAGAGACCACCTTTGAGACCTTCTTCCGTGGCAATTGGAGTAGCGGTCCGCATAGCCTCTTCAGAAGTACTAAATCTGATCACTTGCCCCACAGACCCGTTCACCAGCTGCCCCTGCACCATGTTCTATGGAGCTATGTGTTGAACTCAGGAGCTCGTGTTATAATCATCTCACATTACCTTGATCAACATGACTTGCGCACCGACCTGCGATGTGTGAGACAAGGTAGAGCAAACAAAAGAAGTATTACCCACCTTTAGATGAACGATTGGTTGTGCCACAAGCCTTTCCAGCAAGCGCCCCATGTGTTCGAGTGAGACCAAATTGTCATTCGAATCGCGTCCAGGTGTGTCAGTTGCCGGGTATCTAATTCCATCCCCAGGCAGTGAAAAAAGCTTTCTTTGATTGGCTACATCAACCTCCGCGCGAGTAGGGTAGCTATGGAAGGGTTTGAGCCTAAAATACCGCAAATATATAACCACCTCGTACAGCTGCGTTGGCCCGATGCCATCCTCATACACGACTGGGCGCGAAAGACTTTGGAAAGCTTGAATACAGGCTTTGTCCAACTTTCCAAAACGCATTGCGTTGAGCATGTCGACAAATTCTAAAATCATGTAGGTGGATGAATGCGGAATCGCAAGGAATCACTCACTTTGCTCTTTTTGCCGAAAAACTCGTGTCAACACTATAGGCTGCTTGATGCAACGACTCCAACTTTCTGCCTCAAATGCGAACGTCGATGGTATTTGAATCCCGTTCTTACCGCGGTCCGGCACTGGAGGAAGTTGGCAGAAGTCTCCCGAAAGTACAAGCTACAGGTTGCAAACACATCAGGAGCCAGAAGTTACAGAGAAATGGTTAGGATTGTACTTGTATGCCACCAAAGAATTTATCCGATCGCCTTACAATCCGAGCAATGGCTTCCTATGGTTCATAGGTTGGATCAGCAGTATGAGATTGCAATGTTCTAACACATACCAATTTATCAAAAAGTTTTCCGTCGATCATAGATACTATGTAATGATGCAATTAGCTTTCTTATGAGAAAGAATTAGAAAACGTAAGCCGCAAACCTTCATCTAGTATGAGAGTCCGAACACGTTGCCACCGTTCCTTGACGCGTTCAAACTTAGGCTGGCCAAGAAATTTACCCCCAAGCTTCTTTGCGTCTTCTAGACCAAGTCCAATTCCCGCCCATGAATGCACGGTGGTTCCGCCAATGTTAACTGATGCTATTCCCGTCGAAGCTGTTATAGCAAGGCCTTGATGGCCCCGTCCACCACACACTCGAATGATTTCCCGCAAAAGCACAGATTTCCCGGTGCCTGGACAGAGTTATCGACGTACTCTCAGACAGGTCAGTTTGAATTACGCACCCGCAGACCCAGTAAAGAACACATTCTCCCCACGCTCAACTCTCTGAAGCACACTTTTTTGCTCTTCTGATAAAACAATACCATCCGATGAAGGTCCAGGTCCAGGTGTCTCTATGGTACTTTGATCCCGACCTTCAAAGGCTGGTAATTGTTTCGTTGCCTTTGCTTGTTTGGATGTCGCTAGTCTTGTCTCAAAGCTCGATGGCGCGCTGGATCCACTAGATGACATAGGATCCATACTTGAGGACTGTAACAGGACTTCTGGGACTCAGCAACATCACTATTAGTCGTTTGATTACTCACCTGGCCCAAGCCACTCTTCAGCCTCAAGGCGAGATCGGAAGCTTTTGTGAACGGCACCAGGCCAACGCGAAACCTGTTGTAGCATTTTAGGTTGGCACCTATAAGACGCGGTTTACTCTCTACTCACGTTTGCGTTACACTGAAATGGACATTGAGGAAGGTGACTCGTTTCCGCTGAACTTGAGAGAAAACTCACCTCGGGCCAGGAGTTGTATATTTGTGGTCCCTCGCGACCAATCTTCACAGCGAAGTACTTGTTCACTGCTTTTGTCATCTGATGTTTCAATTATCTTGAGAGCGATTTCAACTTGAAGACCCCCGCCGTGCGGTGATAGGAGAAGTAATTGAGCACGGTCTGTCACATGTCACACTTGCCTGTCACATTCCGGAATCCACGTAATATTGCAACAAATACAGTTGACAATGGTCTAAGTGTACAAGCGAGAAATTCAATACATAAAAAAGATCCTTGATAAATGGAAATGCGCCATAGTATTCATAAAGTTTCCACAAAATTGGCCGGAAATATTCCCTCCTTGCCGCCAACTTTTCCGGTCCACCTGATTCAAATCATGAATCTACAGACGCGGTAGTAGGTAGAGAAACTCACCAGTCATCGGTACTGTCACTCTTCTTTGTTATAATGATGACATCCCCTTTAGAAAGAGAAAGGTCACCAGCCTATATATGATCCGGTAAGCAGTCGCCTGTCATGAAGAGGCTCATCAGAGAGAGAAAATCATACCTCAGCCGCGTTGAAATCGTATAGTGCTATCGCACGACAGATGCCCTCACCAAGAGCAAGAGGTGATGTTAAGTCTGATTTAGGTTTATTGAAAGGTGCCGCGCGATAGCTCGTCTGATTGTCAGATTCGAAGAAATTGTCTTCCGGAGGTGGGGTGGAAACAAATGGGTTCGTATAATCCGCCAAGGAGAACCGATTAGAAGGTTGCTTGGTCGATGGCACGCTCATTGTGCGTGAATGAGCGTTGTTTTTGTCGCTTAAGCCCGAGTGCGCAGAGCTAAACGGCGGTAGAGAGTTGAATGGTGATGCGGGGTCATACGAGTCCTTTACGCCTGGTGGCGCAGAGACACTATTAAAAGGTCGATGCCGACTTTGCAAGGAAGGCGCAAGATCTGATTCGAACTTTGTGTCAAAACCAGACCCTGGCTGTGGGGCGCGATCGTGGTCATCCCATGGAATAGGGCCAGCGTCGACGTCCGCTCCCCCGCTAGTAAAATATGATCCAGATTCTCTTTTCCTTCCCCAGTGTTCTGGGGGGAAATCAACTCCTTTCTTCTTCTTGGTCAAGAAGGAAGGCGTACTGCCTTCGCTCTTTGGGCTCGCAAAGGCGTAACCAGACTGTTCCCGTGTTACGTCGTCGACCCACTTCCGAGTTCCTGGCAAACCGGTGCATGATTCGAGTGTCTTCACAAGAGCAGAAGCCCACTCTGGACAAGGGACTGCTCCACTGAGAAGCATTTTCGCAGTCACGTCTTGTTTGTAAGCCAACGTATTTGCATCCTGACGTTCAACGATGACAGAGCCCTCAATGGAAACTCCACCAAATAAGCCTCGCGTTTTAGAATAGCTGTACCTGAATAATTTGGAATGTCAATTGGTGCATTGTGGGTGGCAGACGGTGGGCTTACATGGCAGCAACTTTGCCGCTTGAATTCAAGGATCCGATCGCTTCACCATTCCGCCCGAGAGGGCCTACTGCGACACTCACGTTGCCTCCCAAAGTGATATTACCAGCAGACATGAAGGATCTCTAAGCCATAAGAACGCCAATAAGCACTCGATGGCACCTGAAGTGAAATAAAGATGGACATACAACAGCCTAAATGACATGTCAGCGAAGAGGTCCAGCGATACGGGAAACATGCAGACCGACCGAAGTTGAATTAAGGATAATCAAGAAATCCGTCATCTCCGCACCGAGCTGTCCACCAACCCCTAGGCCAGCTGAGCCTATGCCACTTGGAGCAGACCATGCTATTCATTAATGAACCCTGTGAGCGGTACTGATGCATACGTAATATGCGAAGTGCCCACATCCGTCATCTAGCTTCGCTATGACGATTCCCGTCCCCGCTCTTGCTGAGAAGAGGAAGCCTGCTTTGAAAACAGTGAAGATGGCAAATCCTTTGGCGTTCTCTACTACACTCCGAGGAATGACCTGACGGTATGTATGTCAAGTGAGCTTTCACCCCCTGTGCTGCCAATAGCCAGACTCACACCATCAAGACCATTATTCTTGTTGTCCACGAATGACGAAACTGGGCAAACTGTCACGCCACTGTGGTACAAAGAAGCCAGATACTCACAAATCTTTGCTGCCTTAGCACACTCTTTGGGTAGCGTCTGTGGAAGCGGCGTATTGAACTTCATAGTTCCCTGCTAAAACAAAGGAGCGGAATAAGAACGTGGAGCTCCTATGCTCCGGTGCGACTTGAATCATGCACAAAGAGTCGAGGTAATAATACGCAGCAAGCGTGGTGTGGCGTGACTAAGTGACTCGTGTGACATAGAAAACATAAGTCAATTGTCTACACTATGTCACTATCGAATGCAGGTTGGTGTGAATAGTAAACACCTATAGGACACGACTTCCAGCCGCTTTGATGGTCCAGCAATCTCCACTCGCCTATATCCGAACCCTGCGCCGGCAATGATGTAGTGGGCGCTGAGTCTGGGTCATCCATGTATTTGTGAGACCCGTCATCAAGAGACATTAAAGAGTGAAGCCGCTCATTCATCACTGTCAGATCACCCGCATCCCAATTCTGTAGATCATCAAGCAAGGAGGTGAAATTAGCCCTCAATGTACTCACCTGCAGTTGCATTGGGCACGTGGCAGAGAGTAGCATATCGGATGCTTTCTGCAGTTCCGCGAAACCCGAGGTCACCGCCCTGAGAAGAGCGGCCAATCTATTGTACACTGTTCGCATCAATCAAAAAACCAAATGTCAAACTTCTACTTACACTTCGATCTTCTTTACCCCTTCCGTCTTACCCGGAGCAAGGGTAGAAGCGAGTAGAACAATCAGATTCTTCCGAAGACTCAACTCTCCATTTTCCTGACCATGGTCATACGTCTTGATAACCCATGCAGCCCATTTCGCGAGAGCCAAATGATACGAGGGGTCGTTTTGCGAGTCGTCTACCTCGAACGAAACGACATCCATGTCAAATCCTGTGTTTGGCGGCTCGTAAAGAATGTTTTCCATAATCCGAGTGGTCAGAACAGATGGGAAAGTAGGATGATATGTTTGTGTGTGGGCCAATAACGGAGTCCATAACGCAAGCGACGAGTGAGGAGGCACAAATTCGTCAGACGGAAGGGTTCTCTTCCTAGGTGTTCCAGTCAACGTGAAGCCCTGGATTTGCAAACATACATACTTTTGTGAGAGAGATACAAGAGCACCCTTCCCAACCAAGGCATCGCAAAATCTTTCCAACGCCCACTTTTCTCTAGGATCCTCTTGTTCGATATCATTGCCATCAATGGTATCCCACCCGTACGCATCAGCCGCGAAATCTGCGGCTAGCTTAGCTTCTGCAAGCCATCGCTCGACATCTCGCATGATTGCATCGATGTCAGGTTGATGTTGTTTGCGGAGGGAAGCATCACGCGTAACAAGCTTCAGCAGTGTCTTGTATTGCTTTAAAAGTGGAGTAACCGGTCGCAAAGGGGGCGCCGTACTCGGTCTAGGAGCTGAAGGGTTTATAGTGGGAAGAAAGTAATTGTGCAACAACCATGTCAGTGACTGACGACGCCCACAAATTATAAACCACGATGAGAATAATTTTTCATGTTTTTATAGAGAAGCTCACCTCCCGTGCCGCTTCCCTTAGCATTTCAAGGCTGGGAAGGTCTTCGTGGGTGGCTGCATGCCTCAATTCCACTAACCATGAAGGTAACCCTAGCTGTGCGGCGATAGATGCTATAGATCTCGCGTATGCTCCCGCCTGCAAAGGATCGACGAGACCATTTACCATCCGTATGATTGCAGCAGCATAGTTCTGCCTTAGACTCAGCCATGAAGAGTTCTGTGGTGTTTCGGAGGTATCAAGCAACCGTGCCGTTAGGATAGATAGAGTAGACTCCAGCGCATGAGGCAATGCAGTCACAGCTCTCCATGCCGATAACTAGACTCTGTCAGATGACTTCGAGAATGTCGATTCAAGTGAAGCTCACTCTGTTAATCGCGAACCGTTTCGCCTCGAGATCGCCCTCATCCATGAAAACCCACGAACAGAGCTGATCGAGCTCGCTGATATTTGCCCATGGCACACGTCGTGGTAGCCTCATTTGCAGTACTGTCCCGAACGTCAAAAAATTATGATGCAGAAAGGCACCGAATTCGAAGTGGCGTCGGGACTCGGGTGCGATGATCAAATTTCCTAAAGCGCTCGCGCGCGCCCTCTTATGTTGTTGAAATTCCACTGTACCCGCCGCTCGCGGATTGGACCTGGTTGACCTGCTACATGAACGCTGGGCTATGTTATAGCGGTTGCCGGTAATCGAGGACCGTTACGACCGTACCGTACGGCGCGCAGTGCTTAAAACTATGCAGTGCATGTATCTACGGGTGCGTTAGCGGATGCAAGCTCTGTCGGATTGAGACTCGGTGATCTTTCTGGAGATAGACGCGACGAAGGCGGCTCACCTTCCTTGTCCACCATGGTTTTGTACGAATTGCAAGTAGCAATCACGTCCTTTCCCTCAGTTACATACTTCTTCCTTCCTTGACTCGGAGTTCTTGAGGAAACGTGGCTCTCAACACCCAGGGCATCCTTGCAGCGGTGACGATTGCAATGTATGTCCCCTTCTTGCTTGTTTCCTTCAAGGTGGTGTCGAAGTCTGCATATCGCGAGGTGATGGATCATGTTGTTAGTATTCTGCATCAGTAAGTCGTTCAATATTATACTAGTCAATTTAGTCATAGCTTTGACCCTGTTTTCTTTCCAGTTAGAGTATTGGGTGGTTCTTTCCTTGTCGCAGCTCAGGAGATTACACCCGCGAGCACCGTATTATACATCGGCGGTTTCGCCCTTCAAGCATCTGGCCTATCCCCACTACTGATTTGCACGCGGGGTCTGTTGCACTCAGTGTGCGCCCATCAAGTTTCCATTCTGGACGGGATGTGCTGAACACTACCATAGATTCCAGACGCCCGATGGTTGGTCAAGATATAATAGCATATTCCGCCTTCTTCAACTCCTCGGCATGGTTGCTCTCATCATCCTTACCATCATCGGTATCTCCGTTGCGTCGAGTTCCAGCTCAAGCTCGACTGTGAACATCATGCGTCGGATCATGCGTCGGACAGGTGTCATCCTCTTTTGCCGTATACATAATCCTTAGTGGCATTTGCCTCTTTCTATGGACCTAAGTCCGCTCTGTCATGCCATACCGCAAGCAGGCGAGCCTTCCGCGATCACAGTCATCTATTCGTCTCATGTTCCTACGCCCTATCTTCAGCTCCTGACAGCCATCTCCATCGCGCTTTCATTCGCGTCCAATTGCAAACCGCTAAGTCGATTTCGTGAATTTGATGGTGTTCACAGCCTCCTCAAGACACATCTATTCATAGGGCATCACCGCACAATCGCAATTGTAGATCCGTTATAATTATAGCTTTTTTTCCTGATATAGTCGAGGGTAAATCATGGGATCTGTTCAAATATTCTACGCACCCACCCCACGCAATCTGATAACATACACACGCAAAGATTCGCATACATACATTATATCTATATGACCACCTGCAGAGTCATGCAGACTCGTTGAACATAATAAACATCTTAGTTAGATCCACTTGCGGTCGCTTGGGTTGGACTCCCAATTGGAGAATGTTACCCAGGCGGACAAGGTCTGCCTGACGGGCCGGCCTGTCTAACCTTCAAGTTGCTCGTATCCGCCGCCGACGGCGCCCACAGCCTTGCGATTCATTGCGCTGGACGACTTACGTGACGTCTCAGAAATGGCCGCAGACTCCGGGTGCGTACCGTAATGTTTCGGGGAGTTTAACTTACTAAATAAAGCTGAGCATGGATGATGTGTACGAAAAGGCGGGAGATGCAGGCGAATAGCCAGCGAGTACTCGGGAAGGGGAAAGAAGAACAGGAATGGCGGGCAGGGTAGTGAGCATGCTGATCTCGGGCTTAGTTTGAGTGGCGCCTATGTCGAAGACGCTGTTGCAAGGCGGGCCGCGGGCAGAAAAGGGGTTTTTGGGATCGATATGCGTGCATCACGAGTAGCTAACGCTGAATGCAGACAAGGAATCTGGGACAGACTTACATCCAGACCGGCTGTAACACATTGTTTCAACACGTTGGGTTGCCGACTCAGAATTGTGGCATTCAGTTCGTGGCGTTTCTTTGTCTCTGTCTCCTTGTAGTCCGGACACCCGGCGAGTTCTTTAGCTAGGAAGTACAATATCTGGCGCCGTCGGTTTTGAAAGCCGAGTGTTGAAATGTAGGTCTGAGGTTGTCTGAGGGCATACATGAGGCCAAAAATCAATCGACCATTCGAGCTGAATACGTTCAAGGATCGCGATGTTGGAGCTAATTTGCAATTGATTCATTCTAATGTAGTACAGGCCACGATGTAGCGCGACCTCGTGCGGTGTGCTCGTCCATACCTGGTTGTGGTTGAGCTATCGGGAGTAGTCGAGGACCGTACTATATGGGTCCGCAGTACTTACTGCGCAGTGCATGACACTCTCGCCGTGGTGCCATGGAAATTGACCTGCCGCCGCGAGCTGCAAATACATCCCTGCTCCGCCACAACCCTCTGCTGAATTCCAGTGTCCGCCCTGATGTTCCTCTTACACAACAGGCCATGGCCATATGTCGAGCCGAACTCGAACCAAGGGCCTCGAAAACCCAGTGAAGTGATGAGGCACGTAGGCTCAGAACTCTGAGTGTTGAGCTGAAATTGGCGACCGTGGTCCGTGATGGCCAGAAATTAATCATGTCTACACGACTTGATGCATTGATGGGTTGTGTATGCGTGACATTGTGTGTGGATTACTTACGTCGTACGAATGCGTTTATTTGTTTACAAAGACCTCTTCTGGTGCGATGATCAAAAATAATTTCCAAAAGGAACTATGCTGCTGAAAGTACGGGCCGTGACTTGCTCATCCGTACCTGGTTGTCCTTGTACTGCCACATTAATGGAGGCTGTGGTAGCATTTGAGGACATATACTAGTGCGCAGTATCGGTGCACGCAGCTCCACTTACTGACATAGGAAGCTTCGGTTCTGCTTCGCTCGATTTCGCTTCCGTCACAGCATCTCGCAGCTGTTAGCCTTCTGGAGATAATCACAACGAGGCAGTCACTGCCCCTTGTCCAATATGTTTTCATACAAAAGGCAGGCAACCATTCCATCTTTTCACTTATCTTCGTTCCTCCTCCTCCTCCCTCGACTCTAGTTCTTCAGGAAACATGGCTCTCGACACCCAGGGCATCCTTGCAGCGGTTACGATCGCAATGTATGTCCCCTTCCTGTTAGTTTCCGCCATGTTGGTGTCCAAGTACGGCATACGGCGAGGCGATGGGTGGATCTTGTTGTTGGTATTCTGCCTCAGTAAGTCATTTCACTTATTTAACACATAGTTTTAACCCTGTTATATCTTCAGTTCGAGTATTGGGCGGTGCTTTGCTTATCGCAGCCGAGGAAGTCACGCCCGTGAATACTTCATTATACATCGGTGGTTACGCCCTAGAAGCATCTGGCCTATCCCCACTGTTGCTTTGCACCTTGGGTCTGTTGCACTCAATGTGCGTTCATCCAGTTGCCATTTTGAATGCTTTGTGCTGAATGCTATTATAGATTCCAAACTCCTGATGGCTTTCAGAGATATAACAGGCAATTTCGCCTTCTTGAAATCCTCGGCATGGTCGCTCTCATCCTCACCATCATTGGCATCAGCAATGCGTCAAGTTCCGGCTCAGACTCTAGTGCGAACACCATGCGCAGGGCCGGTGTCATCCTCTTTGTCGCCCTATACGCCATCCTTGTCGGTGTTTGCCTCTTCCTATGGACCCAGGTCCACTCTGTCATGAGATATCGCAAACAGGTGAGCTTTTCCAAGCATCGACATCTACCCGAGAATTCCGACTAATGTTCTTACGCCATATCTTCAGCTCCTGAAGGCCATCTCCATCGCACTTCCGTTCCTGGCCGTTCGGACGATCTACAGCGTCCTGTCCACGTTCTCTTCGAGTACGTTTGTGACAACCGGAGCCACCCAGGTCAACACTAGCGACCTGGCAAAGTTCAACATGTTCACCGGCGAATGGCAAATCTACCTCGTAATGGACATGCTCATGGAATATGCGATTGTGATCGTCTATTCTGTTGCAGGCCTCGTGCTGCACCTCAATCAAGATTACAAGACCCCAGAATACAATCAGGACGAGTACCCGTTGAGCAGACCTCAATCGTGAGCGTCGGATGGATTAGTGTTGTATCCGCGAAGTGGTAAGTCGGTTTCATGGATTCAATAACATCATCCTCACGACACATCTATTTGCAAGGTCACCACCACTTGTTAATTCGTTCTTATAGGCTTTGTAAAGCTATACATAATCAGAGTACCACGGTGTTTTATTTATTATGTGGATCAAAAAACATCTTAATTATGGATTTCGCTAAGACACTAGGGACATTGAACACACCGAAGACCTTCCTAACACCAGTGCTGATCACTACCAACTTGAGGTTGACCCACAATTGATGAACCTTAAGTAGTGCCACCTAGCGATACTGAATCGCTCATTAACAACGACAGACGACTTACAGTAAGTATTTATGACGGTGAAGTTTGGAGAGCAGATGCGTTAACTAGTAAGACCAACTTGAAAAAACCAAAGCGAGAGAAAACCCAGTGGAAAGGATCGGAAGTAGTAGTGCACGTGAATTCAAAATTGGGGCAATGTTGAGCGAGAGAGGCCGTAAACATGTTGATTCCTTATAGCGTCATAGAGGTCCGGAGCAAACATGCAGATCACAGGCTGTGCATGTGAGTCTTCGAATTCGCCTGTCTTCGCTGGCACCGCTATGTCGGAGATTTCTATTTTTGGTTGGCGGTCCTTAAAATGAATTGGAAGCCCTCAATTTGCCGGCGGCATTACAACTCGCTTGGAAGGCAACCCGAAAATTTTGGAAGCCGCTTGAAAGCGACACCAGGGGGCTTCCAAGGCGGTCCCAAGACCATTCCAATTTAAGAGCAAATTGCAAGTCAAATATCAGTCACATGTCCTTCCAAGGCCTTAAAATCATTGCGTGTGGTTGAAATCAATTTTTTTTAATTGCAATACTATCCAAGGCCTTAAAATCATTGCGTGTGCTTGAAATCAATTTTTTTAAATTGCAATACTATCCAAATACATAATACAATCGCTACTGTAAATAGGTATTGCAACATTATAGACTCAATACCCGCGTATTGTAAATGCGAATCCTAAATACATCAGCCGCATCAGCAAACCGTTCCGTCAAACGAAACGAAACGGAGCTGGGCGCGGACCTTGTCGATGTGGCTTGCGAGGCTGGTTTGGGTCTCATGTAGCTCTGAGCGCAGCTCAAAGGAGGATCAAGACACTCACATCCTGCGAAGAGTGGGCAACGACATGGATCAGCATAGCTCGAGCTCAAAGGAGGATCAAGACACTCACATACTGCGAAGAGTGGGCAACGACTTGAGTCAGCATGACTCGAGCTCGAAGGAGAAAGGCCAGGGTGCTCTGGGGGAGGTGCAGGGGTTCTGGGTTTGCGGGTGCGACAGATGCGGGTGTGTGCAGAGGTGGTCGAGGCTTGTTGTGAATGCATGGGAGGAGGTGCAGGGGTTCTGGGTTTGCGGGCGTGGCAGATGCGGGTGTGGGTGCAGAGGTGGTCGAGGCTTGTTGTGAACGCATGGGAGGAGGTGCAGGGGTTCTGGGTTTGCGGGCGCGGCAGATGCGGGTGTGGGTGCAGAGGTGGTCGAGGCTTGTTGTGAACGCATGGGAGGGAGCAATTGGGGGAAGTGTGGTAGGTTTTGGGCTATGGGGAAGGGGGATAGTCAGTATGTAGGAATAAAGAGAGTGGCGGGGACAGACCACTTACACCGAGCCACTGAGCGTGTCGTGAATGTCATTCATTGAAGAGCTCAGGGAGTGCAGTTCTGCGCCAGTGTCATGGCTCTTCTGGAGTTCGCCTGGATGTTGGGAGGAAGAGAGGCGGATGTTGGGATGGCCTCTACGTGGGCAGCGACTTTGTGGTGGATGGTGGTCTTGTTGTCTTCACCGATAATGTCGATACCGAATTCCTGCAGGGGGGTTGGATTCAGATGGGTCAGACAGAGGGAAATGGGGCAGACATACCAGAGCTCGCGGCTGCCAGCGCATCCACTGATACATGTTGCTTCAGGGAAATTCGTCGGCTGCGCAGGTGGAATAGGTTGTGATGTCGAAGGCATTGGGGGCAATGCGCCATTCTGTTGAGAAGATTGCTGAGTGACAGTGGCGAAGGGAATCCATTGGGACATGGTAGTCGGAATGTAAGTGAATGAGAGTGATTCCAAAACATTCCAAGTTCGGTTATTGTTTGGTACTGTTTAATTATTATTATAAATCATTACGTATTGAATTAATGGCGTCAACATAGACATAGCAATGACAATGATTGATTCAGATGGCTGAATTCTTGTCCGAGTCGACGTCGCTCTGTTGATTCGGATTCAAAATCTCTACTTAGTTGTATTGTAGTTGCATGTCTAGCTAATGTCACAATCAATGGATTTAAGATGATGCATTGCGTGAAAATTTAACCAGCAGACAATTCTATTTGAAAGTAAGGGATTGTCCAGGTATTGAATTACAGGTAATAACAATCGTTGAGCGCAGGATGAAGACAGTCTACTTAGTGATCCTTGATCGGCCCCTTCGCACACCACTGCCACTGACTACTGACAACAAAACCTCAGGTTCCTTTCCAGGAGCTTGATCCTCCGGGTCAGCACTGGTAGTAGTATTAGTATCATTGGCGGCCTTGCCCTTCCGCTTTGGCTTTGGCCTTGGCTTCGGCTTCTGGACAGCAGGTGGTTCCAGCTCGTCCTCATCAAGTACTGGCTGCGCTGCAGGTGGTGGGTCTCGACGACCGTCCTCAGCTAAAGCTAAACCTTGCATGGCGGCAGAGATTGATTGGGGACCGGGTATAGCAGGAGGTGCAGCAGGAGGTGTGGCAGGAGGTGCAGCGGGAGGTGCAGCGGGGGGTGCAGCAGGAGGTGCAGCAGGAGGTGTGGTGGGCGCCTCTGAATCGATGACAGGGCCAACTGCATCTAGTTCTGGTAGTTCGCCTCCGGTTTCCATTGCGTGCTCAAACATTTCTTCCCAGCTGTCCTGTGGACCGCTCGAGTCGTGTGAGGGGTCTGAACCGAGGATAGTTGAGGCAGAATGAGATGTCGCAAACAGCGCGTTGTTGAAAAACGTGAAGACCCCGTTTGCCCAGGCACCTCCGGTTAGCAGCGATTGTCGGTAGTAGTTATGGTAGTCTTTGTATGGAATCCGGGATTTGTCGCCGACTTCAACCAACTCTTTGTCGCCGGATAGGACAAATATAGCCTGAAACTGCGTAAATATCAATGTTCCGCAGTGTAAGAAGAAGAAGCGTACAATAACGGCTGCTGCTGCGATGAGGCCAGGTGTTACAGCGCGTAACTCCCATATTTTGGCCTTCGTTTTTGGAGTGGGGACTGCGTTGGCAGCGAGTGAAGATCGGCCAAAAAGGGATGCTTTCAAGACCTATGAATGTGATTCAGTTTAGCTGGAATTAAAGGAAGGGAAGAACCTACATAAACAAGCTTCGATGTTTTCAGAAAATCATCTCTGGCGAGACGGTCTGGACGCGGGAAAAGAACTGGAGCAAACTTGGTATATATGCCTTGGGGGTTGAGGAGCAGAGTTCGGCAAGCTGGCTCTGTGTCCCGTGCGTAACCTCTTATGAAGAACTTGGCATCCAGACTGAAAATCGCTGCTGCACATGACTTGATGTCTGAGAGCATTTCAGCGCGAACATTATTGACACCTTTCACAAACTGGAAAGACGGTCAGTTGATTGAGGAGGGTCTCAGATTATGGCACATACATGGGAGCCAAAGTTTTTGTGAGCCATCATATTGTGGTCGACTGGGGGAATGAATTGGAAAATTTCGGCTTTAACGCCATCCTGAATCGATAACGGTGAGAGCCACCGCTCCTTGCTCGAGAGGTCGATTCTGGGAGGTGGCCCACGCAAAGGGAAGATAGACGTTTCGACCCATAAGCAGTGCGTGACAGAGAACTTGCGTCCAAGATTTCTGATGCTGTCTTCCTTGGCGGCGAGGGCAAGGTCATTCTTGGTTAGTTTCGTCTTCCGACCTTTTGAAACTGTTGCTCAAGCAAAGCGTTCTTCTTCAAAGCCTCTCGGTACTTCCCGCGCATGTCCAGAAGAAGTCTTTGCGCAAGTTCAAGTGCCTATAGTAGATATGTCAATGATCACTATCACAAACATTTGTCCGTATGTAACGAAAAGACGGAATTAACTTACTTTGCGAAGATCTTGAGTTGATGCGTTAGCAGCAGGGGCGACAATTGCATCGCGAATCCGCAATAAGTCTGCATCATCATTTGAATCTGAATCATCACCATCAGATCCGTCTGTGTCACTGGAGTTGCTGTTGATGTCTTCAATTTCTCGCGTAAAGTCTTCGCCTTGCTGAATTGGACGCATAATATCAGTCTCAGTATTAGCAGAGAGCGCAGTGAGGCAGAGTCGAAGAATGGCAGACTGGAGTCTCAGTCAGTCGCACAAGCTTTAAATCAACTCTCGCATTGACATGCGTTATGGGGGGCCGTCGCAACGTTGACTGTAATGCGTGACATTGTTCTATTAGATAAAAACACACACCTTAGACTTGTTTAATTCAGACTGCAGCGTCGTCTAGATCGTGTCAGAATAAGACCCGTCGGTTGATGTAATAAGGCAACAGCATCAGCATCAACATCACACGCACAAATTAAATGGAGACTCATCACATCAGGCATGCACGTCATAGTGCGGTGCGTCATTGACATGTTGCAGGACTGATTCAGATACATAATATCAGTTATGCCAATGATACCCTGTGTGATGATATTTTGCGGCTTACCTGAATACATAATACAAGCATTGCGTGTTACAGTCCCCATGCAGAAAGCGGAAATGAATCATTGACAGTGCTGAAGGTACCCGAGCATCAACATGAGGCAGCAAGAACAGACCTGCAAAACGAGTCAGTGTCAAGTTCTGAGGGTGTTTGTGAAGAAATGTGGGAGCTTCACCTGGGAGTTAGACGAGGAGGGTGATGGAGGGCATATGCAATGAAATGCGGGAGTTTCGCTTGGGAATTTGAGGGTGAGCGCAGGTCGGTGCGGGGAAGGGCATATGCGATGAGATGCGGGAGTTTCACTTGGGAATTTGAGGGCGAGTGCAGGTTGGTGTGGGGAAGGGTATATGCGATGAAATGCGGGAGCTTGACTTGGGAATTGAGGCGAGTGCAGGTCAGTGCGGGGAAGGGCATATGTGATGAGATGCGGGAGTTTCACTTGGGAATTTGAGGGCGAGTGCAGGTTGGTGTGGGGAAGGGTATATGCGATGAAATGCGGGAGCTTGACTTGGGAATTGAGGCGAGTGCAGGTCAGTGCGGGGAAGGGCATATGCGATGAAATGGGGGAGCTTGACTTGGGAATTGGAGGGTGAGTGCAGGTTGTTGTGGGGAAGGGTATATGCGATGAAATGCGGGAGCTTGACTTGGGAATTGGAGGGTGAGTGCAGGTTGGTGCAGGAAAGGGTATATACCATGAAATGCGGGAGCTTGACTTGATAATTGGAGGGTGAGTGCAGGGTGGTGTGGGGGAAGGGCATATGCGATGAAATGCGGGAACTTGACTTGGTGGTTAGATGAGGAGGGTGATGGAGGGTGGTACACGATGAAATGCGGGAGTTTTACTTGAGATCTTGATGGGGAGGGGGGCATTGGATGGCGCAAGGAAACAGGTGGGTGATGAACCGGTACTACTGTAGCAAATGTCTGGTACGAAGAAACATGTCGGTATCAACATAATCAACAAGAAAATAATCTCCCTTGTTAGTGAAATTGGGGACGACCAAGGCACCACGAATGATGGAATGAAGGGTGATAAACTCAGACGAAGAGGTGGGCCGTGCACGGAGTCGAGTTAGTCGTAGTTCCCTATCCATACGCCGACGTGCCAATGGGCCAATTAAGGCATCCATGGGTAGGACCAGCGCAAGATCTAAAGTGTTTGCTACCGACAGTGTGCTTGAACATGTATAATATCTGCACAAAGATATTTTTGTCGTGGCCATCCTTGTCCTGTGTGCGTATTAGGGCGTAGTCGCGCCGTTCTTTGCCATGGAAGCTTGGATTGCATCGCAGGTAGTCGGTAGCCAACTTCCAGTCAAGCGGCAGACTCATAGTGCACTTTTAAGTAACGATGTTCATGGATCTGTTGATACACGCAAAGTCAGATTTGAATAACAGCGAGGAAAGATAATCACCTGGTCATGTGCTCTAAGTTTCAACCATGTTGTTCCATCTGGCAATGGAATGTTGTGGGAGGGAAGGAAGTGATTGAGAAATGTTGCGAGCTTCTTCCGGAACTGGTGAAAGGCGCGCGATGACTTGTTTTCTTCCTCCACTTGCGCAAAGCTTGTATGATTCTTGAGGGGTGAACCAATATGAAGATGTTCTTCAAACAGCTCGTCATCATCCTCATCCGTATCCTCGAGTTCATCCCGCGAGAGCAGGGCTTTGCGTCGTTCCTCATCAAGGTACTCGATACGGCTACGAATGAATTCGGAGACAACACTCCTATGGTCGAGCTCAAGGATCTATTAGTTAATATTACAGAGTCAGTGGTGTGGAGCGACTCGTTTGGAAGTTAGAAATGCCAATTAACATACCTGATCAGCGATATTCTTACGATTGGTCTGCCGTAGATACCACTTTTTGATTGGCCCGTGTTGCTTTTCATTGGGTCGAGTACTGAAGTTGCGGGCGGCGCCTTTCGCCATGATGTCATCGAATATGTGCTTTCCGGAATGAATCTTAGGAAAGTTCCAGTTTTGATCGTGTCAGGATCGGTCTCTTTGACAATTTTGATGTACTCCTGAGATAGTGAATAAATAGTTAGTATATGTGAACTAGTCTCAGAATCGCAGTGGCACATACTCTAAGCGGTTCTGAAACTCAAATACCTCAGCCCTCCTGCAGCAATTGTGCTTTCGGTTTGGACCTCGAGTGAAATATACATGTCGAATGAAGTAGCTCTGCACTGCAGTAGCACATAGCGGCTTCATCTCTGTGTGCGTAAGTATGTTCGGGCGGCGTTACAATACTTGCTATCAGAGGAGCGACTCATCAAAGAACTGATAGCTGTAAAGTCACGGCGTACCTTGGAAATACGCGAAGCTTGTTGCCATCGCTATATGTGATG